CCTGCCTGGACTTCTGGCAGTTCTCTGCTGATGTGCTGTTCCAGTCATTTTTGGATAATCTTCAGTAGAATCTTGCTTGATACTGTTAGATAATCTTGCTTGATACTGTTAGATTATTTCCGCACTCTGTTCAGCACCTTTCTTTGGAATGTGAACAAATACACATCTTCCAGTCAATTGGCCAGGTGGTTGTCCTCCAGATTTCTTGGCACAACTTGGTGAGCACATCCAGGGCAGCGCCTGTTTGTTGAAATAGATCCATCAGTTTGCTATCAATTCTTGGGGCTTGTTTTTTTGCCAATTCTTTCAGAGCAGCTTGAACTTCTTCATTCATCACCACAGGCTCTTGCTCATACATTGTTTCATCAAATTCTTTTGTGTCCACCAATTCCTTTTGGTACAATGACTTGTATCAAAATCCATATTACCAAAATGCATTTTTTTTCTTAATACCAATATGCCTTCTATTACTGAAAACACATGGTATCAAGATTACCAAAAACTGAAAGCAGAAAATAATTCAGTCTTGGAACTTAGATTAAGCGCATTTAGGTGAGCCAGTTCTTAGCGAGCAGCATTCACCTCTCTCCTAAGGTCACTTTGTTTGCCTGTGGATCTCCACGATCCAGTCCCATGTGCGTGGGGTCACAGCAGGTTACGGTTAACTCCATGGCAGCTAACATGTGCACCAGCTCTGAAGTCTTATAGTCCTCATTTCCACCATCCTCTGTTCATCAAGTCGGCTACAGAGGCAGCCCACCCAGGTTCATGGAGAAGGAAAGCAGGCCTCCCTTCCTGATGACTCTAATTCCAGAGTATTAGTAGTCCAGAGGACATGAAGGTTTACAGATTGTCCAAGAGGGGCTTCAGACAGAAGATGGGTTTAGACTGTGTCTTGAAGGAGGGGCAGGATTTGGGTGAAAGAGAGAAGCAAAGAGGCAAATGGAAACTCATACCGCAGGCTGTGAATGAGAGGAGATTGCGCCCTGAGGGTGAAGCTTGAGACCCTCTCATGGTGACCAAGGCTCTATGCCAGGGAAAAGGGGCAGTCTGTCTTAAGAGTGAAACTCCCTGTTCCCAGCACCACGAAAGGCCTGAAATATGGGAGAGAAGGTAATGTGGTAAAGAGTCAAGAATTCTTGGAATCTTTACATCTCAAGATAGTTCTTTTGTCATCATCGTCTTTATTGTTAAGAGTAATGATCATAGTCAAGGTTTACACAGAAGTGTATCATTTTAAAAAATGCACATACCTTATCACCTTATTTGGATAGCACTGCAAAGCATTATTATTTTCATTTTGTTCAGAGCACACTGAGCTCAGCACCAGTTAACTAGTTAGCACAAGAACCAAAGCTAGAAGCCGTGTTTCTGTGACCCCAGGAGCCCTTGCTGTCCCTCCATATCTTGCTACCACTGAGATGCCTTCAGGGGATCTCAATACCACCCCCCTCCCGTGATCCTTCCATCATTTGTTTTCTGAGCTCCTGCTCTGTGGTTGTGGTTGACTCCCATGTGAAATCCCTGCAGGTTTTGGAACATCTCTGACATTGCAGTGTTGGGAATATACCAGTTCTGAGAGCTTTGCCTAAAAAGTATATTTCCCTGGACAATGTACTTTGTTCATCCTTCCAACTTCAAGACACTGTGATAAAAGACAATGTTCCAAAGTATGTTAAGATTCACACAGATTCCTTTATCCTATTTTTAGCAACATTTCTCGAAGGCAATTTTTATTTCCAGAAAAAGAATTGTAATGTATTAAACAGCTTTAAAAGAAGTACACCCACACCTCACTTATCTACACAGTTAGGTCCATAAAATCAAGTTATTAGGTGAAGGGGGAATCAAAGGAAAATCACTACATCATATCACAAAATGGAGTGTTATATACTGTGAAGTCAACTATGACACATATGAATAACACTTCTGAACCTTGCCCTATCATGACCCAATCTCATCGTGTCTGACACACCTGACCCTATTGCCACAGTCACTGTGTCAATTCATCTCATTTGGTCAGTTGACCTTCTTTTCCGGTGCTGACCCTCCACTCTTCCAAGCATAATGTCCTTCTTTAAGGACTAACCTCTCCTAACAACATGCCCAAATTATGTGAGATGGAGCTTCAAAATCCTTACCTTCACCCTTTCTAGTATAGACCTGTTTGTTCCCTTGGAAGTTTATGGTATATTCAGGACACTTCTCTAGCACCACAACTAGCCATTGGCTCTTCTTCTGTCATCCTTACTCCTTGTCCAGCTCTCTGATGCATAGCAAGTAATTGAGAAGACAATGGCCTGGATCAGGAGGATGTTTCCTATCTTTATGTAACTGCCAAACTGCTGAGAATTACTGTCCAGCCAAGATAGCTCATAACCTTATCTACCACAACTAGTGTCACTCTCACCTTACAGCTTGGCATGTGTTGCTGCCATATATATTTAATTAATGCCCAGAATAATCAGATAGTACATTATTAATATTATCATAAATGTGCGATATTGGACAATGGGATTGTCAGTGAGTGAGGAGTCTGGTGTGTATTTGTTGTGAATGCATTTTTCTGTTATTAAATGTGTCTACGTATTTGTTTAAGAATACAGAGGAGTCTTTTAAGAAATGCTGGTGGCATAGTATGTTAAGTGTTGGGCTTCTAACCCAAAGATTGACAATTCAGACCCCCTGTATGCTTCTCGAGAGAAAGACTGCTGGCTCTACAGTCTTGGAAATCCTACAGGCACTTCTGCTCTGAGTGGAGACTGACTTGATGGTGATGAATTTGAGCCTGGAAGTCTTTTTTTCTGCTACCTCGAGCATGTTATTGTTGTTATTAGGTGCCATCAAGTTGAGTATGACGAATAGCGACCCTATGAACAACTGATCTGAACACTGTCCTATCCTGTGTCATCCTCATCATTTCTTATACACTTCAGCCCGTTGTTGCAGTCACCAGGTCAGTCCACTTTGTTGAGGCCTTCTTATCTTTCACTGACCTTTCCCATCATGATATCCCGCTCCCAGGAATAGCCTCTCCTAGAAGCATGTCCAAAGAATGAGAGATCACATGTTGTCATCCTTGCTTCCAAGGACCACTCCATATGCACCTTTTATAAGACATGTCTTTGTTCTTTTGGCCATCGATGGGCTATTCAGTACTCTTCCAACACCACAGCGCAAAGGTGTCAGTTCCTTTCCTCTCATCCTTATTCATTGTCTAGCTCTCAGAAGCGTAACAAGTAACTTTTCACCTTGAGCATAGTAATATGTAAAATTTATCATGTGATCATACCCTATTTGATAGTACAGCTCTAGTTTCCTCTTGATTATAAATAGAATGATTCTCTTCTTTGCATGTTTCTGATTTTACACTCATTTTTCAAACAAATGTACTAAGGAAAGGAAATGTGTCCAATATATCGCTGTGTTTCATATTACAGATGTTGATGATGTTAGGTGCCATTGGGTCAAGTACAAATCATAGCGACCCTATGGACAACAGATCTGAATCCTGTAGGCTAGTATTTTTTTTAATTGAGATTAGATTCACATGACATATATGTGATTAAACTCACATTGGCATTAGCCATTTTTAATTTAATAATTCCGTGGTGTTTAGGACTTTCATCTTGTTGTACAACTAGCACCTTTGCTTAATTTCAAAACATTTTAACCGATCTAGATTTAAACCTCATCTCCATTAAGCAGTCAGTCTCTATTCTCCATCTCCCTTCTCCCTGAGTTTTCCATCCCCATGGTTTTTCTCTTCTGGACATTGCTGAAATCCTACAGGAAGTCCTATTTCTTTCCTTTAACATAATGTTTTCAAATTTCATCCATAGTGTAGCATGCATCAGAATTTCATTCCTTTTTTGTATGATGATGTTGTTGTTGTTGTTATTAGGTACCATCCAGTTGGCTACACAACTCAGAGAGACCCTTGAACAACTGATTGGCACCTCACCCTGTCCTGCAGCGCCCTTGCCATCTCTGACGTGCTTGAACCCGTTGTTACAATCACTCTGTAAATCCATCTTGTTGAGGGCCTTCTCATTCTCTAAACCTCCACCTTTGCCAGCATATCTTTTCCCTAGAGACTTTGCCAGTGTGTCTTTCACCAGAGGCTGGGCTCTTCTGAAGAGAAAGTGTCACCCTCCTCACCTCTAAGGAGCACCCTGCTTGCCCTTCCTTCAAGACAAACTCGTTTATTTTTTTGGCAATCCATAGGATATTATTCAGTGTTCTTCTCCAACACCACAGTTCAAAGGCATCAGTTCTTCTGTCATTCATTGTCCAACTTTCAGATGCATATGTATCTATTAAAAATTCCATGGCTTTTTTTGGCATAGCTGAATATATGAGCGTGCCATGCATTTTGTTTACCCATTCATGTATTGTTGAACATTTGTGGCTACTGTGGGATAATGATACAATAAACAGTGGTATGCAAATATCCATTTTCCCTCCCTGTTTTCAATTCTTTGGTATACAAACCTAGCCATGGACTTGTTGGGTCATGTGGTACTCCTACATTTAACTTTTTGAGGAACCGTAGACGTAGTGTTGTGTTCTGCTTTTAAAGGCTTTTCTTGAAGGAAGGAAAGTGATGTTTAAAGGCCAGAGCACCTTTTCATCTGCCGGTATTATATTCACAGACCTTTTCTCTTCTTCCCCTCTCAGGCGCAGCACACACACGACGCCATCATGGAGGCTGCCCAGCTCATGAAGGAAGCTGTGGATGACATCATGGTGACGCTCAACGAAGCAGCCAGTGAAGTGGGGCTTGTAGGAGGCATGGTGGACGCCATAGCAGAAGCCATGAGCAAGGTGGGTCTGGGCACCTCAGAGTCAGTCCTTGACTTAGTTTCCCAGTGTTACTATAACACAAGTACCAAAAGGGAGGATTTCAAGATCAGGAATTTATTTCCTCAATGTTCTAAAAGCTCAAATTCACACTGAATACTAAAAGCAAAACAAATGAAACTCACTGCTTTTGCCTGTTTCCACTCATCATGGTTCTCTGTTGGATTTTTTCAGGAGGAGACATGCCTGTCTTTCTCCCTCAGAGTAGTTAGTGGATTCAAACCACTGACCTTTCAATTAGCAACTCTTTATACACTGTTGCACCAGGACAATATACCAAAAACCAAACCCACTCCCATCAAGTTGATTCCAACTCCTGGTGACCTTCTCCCAGGTTCTGGGGCTCTAAATCTTTATCGATTGTAGGACCCTTTCCATCTTTCCCCTTCAGAGCCAGTGGTGAGTTCAAACTACAGAACATTCGGTTACCAGCCCGTAAGTTAATGCACTGTGCTGCCACGTGTTGTTATTAGGTAAAATTAGTCATCAGAGTTATGGCCCTGGGCATTCCTTGGGTCCTTGGCTTGTAAAGGAGCCTAACCTGTTGTCTTCTAATCAGCTCTTTTTGTAATTTAGAGGGGTTTGGTTTAGGATATACCTTATGCTGATATCATGTAATTAGTATAACAAAGAAAACCTCTTTTCCCAACAGGATTACATCTGCAAATACAGGGAGTTAGAATTCTGATGAGGAGCAACACAATTCAGTGTACAACAGGTTTTATTCCATTTCTTCTCCTACTTCCCTCAGACTTCGTCCCCAGGTACTTTTTTTCTAAGGAGCTGAGGCTCATGGCTGATACCAAGAGCCTTCTTTCACTGGAAGATTCTGTTAATAGAAATATTCAGTAACTTATTGAACAAATTTTTGTTTTTACTTTTGTAAGCCATAATACCCTTCTTTTCATTTTCCCATGGGAGGAAAAGAAAAGAAGAGATGTAAAACATTGTTTTCCTTGTTTGTGAAATAGAAATAGTTATAAGATTGGCACAGGATAGAGCAGGGTATAGGGCTGTTGTACATAGGGTCACTCTGAGTTACAAGCAACTCTACAGCACAACACAACAACAACATTCACTTCATAGGGAGCTCTGGTGGCCTAGTGGCAAGAAGCTGCACTCTAATCCCAAAGGCATACAGTTCAAGGCCACCAGATGTCCTGCAGGAGAGGGATAGCCAGTCTCCTCCCTTGCAATTAACTGCCTCTGAAAACCTGCCAGAGGCTCAGCTATGGGTCAGTTCTGACTCGAGGGTACACAATAACATTCACTTCATGGGGCTCTGGTGGCTTAATGGTAAGGAATTGTGCTGCCAACTCAAAGGCATGTGGTTCAAATCCACCCACTACTGCTTGGGCAGATTCCTCCCATGTGATTTACTGTCTGTGAAAACCTACTGGAGGGTCAGCTATGCGTCTGTTCCAGCTCAACAGTATTCACTTCATAGGACGCTCTGGTGGCCTAGTGTATAAGGAGTTGTGCTCCCAACCCAAAGGCAGGCAGTTCAAACCCACCAATTGCTTTGCGAGAAAAAGACAGGCCATCTCCTCCTGTGCAGTTTACAGCGTAGCAACACCTGCTGGAAGGTCAGCTATGAGTCTTTTCAAACACCACAGCAATGACTTTTTTACTTTGATCCACTTCTTAGGGAATTGTGATGGAAGTCCAGTCACGCCTCTAATTGGTTTGAGAGTTACTTCCTCAGAAATCCAGTAGTGGATCAGCTATGAGTTGGAATCAACTCAGGGGCCATTAGTGTGTAAGCAGTCCATTTCATAACGATCCCTGGAACCAAGACATTGGCTGTTCAAATCCACTAGCTACACGGAGGGAGAAAAATTGGATTTACTGCAATGAAAGCTCACTATTAGTGAGAATCAAAGGCAATGTGTTTGGGGTTTTGGTCACATCTGCTTTATAGCTTTTTGTGAGAAACTTAACTCAGATTGAAAGAATTAATTATTTCAGCACTATTCTTTGGAATACTAGGAATCACCAGAGAGCTTTTAAAAATTCCGGTTCCCAGTCGCCACCCTAGACATGCTCAATTAGAATTTCTATTACACTTTAAGAGAAACTAGTATATAGTCAGATGTGGAAACCACTGAAATAATATGTGAAAAAGCCCTTGGTGGCAATGGAAATAAAAAATAACCTGATTATAATTTTCTCATTTAGTGACCCATCAGTTGAGTTGGTTCCATAGGGAAATATGGTTAGAGGCCTTTTTAACTCCATATTTTCTGCTCCTTCCCCAAGGAACCTTTTACTAGATCTGTCAGATTGATATTCATTAAAATTAACAATTATTCATCAACATCTAATTGCTACCCTATGATAGCATACCTACAAATTTTAGACATTGGCTGTGTTTTGAAATGTCCATTGTCAGATTGCATTTATACAGGTTTTTCAGGATAATAATCAGTCTTTAATTGTTAATTTAGGGAGGATTGGTTGTTCATATCCCCATAAAGAGATGATGGCCTGAAACTAGATAGCACTATAATTAGAATAATTACCTTGAAACAGTATGCATTCATTATCAGTCTGATAAAGTAACCCACCCATTTGGGCTGATACGCTGCGGATCCTTTCAGAGGCCCAGGCTCTGCCTTGTCAAAGCACCCAATTAGTTTCTGGTTTGTGCTTCTGCTTCAAATCTGGATAGTGTGACAGCAAATGAATGAAATCCCCTTCTTTCAAAAGTCTGTTTGGTTTTCAGAATGTTGGCACTCCTGAGTTTTGAAAGTAAGCTGTGTTTCTACCAAGGGTATGCAGTAATAGAGCACCAAGAGTTTCTTGGTGCATAGTAGAAATTCAGGTGATACGTATTTTCTCCTAAGGCAAAGATGTTTTTCAGAATCACCCTCATGACAGGTAAGACCTCCGTAAATCCTAGGTTGATGCGGCAGAGAGAGCCTCATGCCTCTTGTGGGGTGAGCCTGGAGGATATTATGACGAGTGAAATATCTCAGTCACAAAAGGACAAATATTGCATGGTGCCACTGTTGTAAAATGGGACTGATACCAGGGTTGGGGTGAGACTGAGAAAAACTGGATAAATTGTGTATACTGCACTGAAACAGATGAGGGAGTGAATAATTTAAAAGTGATGTATGATAGAGTATTATGGTTATCACAAGAGTCCACAATTCAGGTTGCATAGTGGAATGTGCTTGGGGCGGTGGGAAGGGTGTGGGGGGATTGTGTACCAGGGAAGGAGTGTTTCTTTTACTTTTGAAAGAGAGGAGCAAACTGGGGGGGGGGGGCTGGGCGGGGAGAGAAGTGCAGCAGTGAATGAATGGAAATCCAAAATCTCTGTAAATGCTCATTAAAATTATTTTTAAAAAAATAAAATAAAATTTTTAAGAAAAGGAACCTTTGAGCCTGTACACATGGCAGGATACCGGCAGAGAAAAGCTTGTGCGTCACCTAATTTCAGTGCTGTAGCTACTGCTCTCTGCCTTAGGTTCATTTGATTCTTCTGGAAGAGCTAGGAAATACGTCTGGTGCTACCTCATAGTAATGATTAGGAATTACTGCCAACGTGAGCCACAGAGACCAGGAGAAAAACTTCCCTCCCAATTATTCTGAAGAGTATATAATCAGGGCTTCATTTTTGAAAAACACTGAAAACTACACCAGCTACTGTGGAGTTCATCCTGACTCATAGCAACCCTTTAAGACAGTTAGAGTCCCCAAGGCTATACATCTTTACAGATGCCGACTACCACTTCTTGGAGCGCGCTGGTGAGTTCAGATGGCTGACCTTCCGACTAACTAGTGCACATGTAACTGGGGCCAGAGCTCTTTAAGGGTTTCCTTCACACTCTCTCACTCTCACCGCTGAGGAGTTGAAACTGACTCATAGCTGACCCACCAGCAGGGCTCTGAGGCTGTAAAACGCAAGAGAGGAGATTACCCTTCTTTTTCCATAGAGAAGCTGGTGAATTCGCATCACCAGAGACACATCCTTTGAATTAGCCTCACAGCTCCCGGCTGACTGTGCCACTGGAGTGCCCCTTTAATTGCTTTCATTGGTACCTTTAAACTCTCTTCGACCTAAGGAATCACACGATGCCTCTTTCCCATTCCCTTTACTACGCCCACTCACTCTGCCCATCACTAGAGAACATTGTATGAAATGGCATTTCAGGTCCTTTGAGCCCCTCAGTAAAGGAAGGCATTAAAAACCTGACAGTATTCCCATCAACCCCAGCCACAGTGAACTATTAAATACTCTCCTTGGTTGCTTATACTTCAATCTTACTCCATTCTGTTCTCCCCACTTAATCACTGTTTGAGCCACATCGATCTCTTTGCTTTCCTTAAACCAGGTTTCAAGCCAGTTCTAAGACGCTTCAAACTGATTGTGACGATAGCTGGATGGGCTGTGCGGTCACATCATACACTCCAACTATACATGTTCCATTCGTGTATAGTCTTGCCTGAGTCTACTCATGACACTGGGCCCTCATTGAAGACTCCATCTGCCATTTTCCTGATTGATCACTTGACCTGTAGTCTCTTCACTGACTAAACTATTAGGCACAGAACAGCCAGAGCTACTCAGATATATCAACTCCTATCCCAAAGCCCTCCCCGTTGTTGTTGTGGTGCATAAGCCTATTATTGAAGCCGCTGTGCCAGACCTCCTTGCTGAGAGTCTCGCTTGGTTCATTAACTCTCTACGGCAGGAGTGTGCCGGGTTTTGTTCTGTTGTGCAAAGGACTGTTCTAAATTGTAACCAACTCAATGGCACCTATGAAAAGCTCGAGAGTCCACTGTTTTCTTCATGCTTTTCAAGGTTCTCTATGCAGCAGGCCCAGCCTCATTCCTACCACCATCTCCATAACCTCCTTTTTGTCCAAATCAGGGTGACTGCTCATATGTCCTGTGTAGATTCCTAGGCGTAAAATCTCTGGAGTATCAGTCGGCAACCCATGGTGACGGTCACTACCTGTGGTAATTGTGGGGAGGACAGCTGTGTTTTCATCACTGCTGTTTCAGTATCAGCATTGTGCCTCTTATCACGAGCATCATCTCTTTGTCTTTGTGTGGCAGTTGGCCGGCATTGATTCAGTTGATCCTGATTGCTACTTACGGAGTTTAGAAGTTAAGCAATGAAGGACCCGAGGCTAACTGAGTTTAAGTAACTAGCTTGAAATCGTTCACAGATTCTAGAACTAGGTTCTAAATATGCCTCCTGAACTGTTATATTCCGAGAGTCAGTGGCACTATTCCACCCCCCAATGATCCCACCTTTCTCTCTATTCTTATCACACTTAGAAGCAGGACTGGAAAAATACTCCTGTTGTGCTTGGTCAGATGAGTGGCAAATTACTGCTGCGTTTGCCACATGCATTCCTTCAATTCCTCCATGTATGTCAGTCATAAGTGAGGGTTCTGGGTACAGATACCGGTAAACTAAACCTCTCCTAGGGAAGTTCTTTGTGATAGAGATTCTGGCTCCTGTCCTCCACCCCATGTGCTTTCCTCAAGGTAACAGCCTCACTCACTCTCCCCAAGTACTTGGATGCTGTTTGCTTTTCTTGGGGCATCCTTCTGCAGGCACACCTCATGTCTGGTTCTAGAACACTTCAAAAGCAAAGTCACATGGATGTTTGTTTACCAAATCATCAATGACATAATTGATTAAGTATTCCGTTGCATAAGGCAAGTTTTAAATATTATTAGAGTTACCCAAATATGTCATAGATATAAAGTAGGGACATGGTATTGGGGAAATGGCACACAGACCTTCTATTTGTAAAAAATAAAAAGCATCTGAGCAGTGCAATAAAGTGAAGCACAAGAAAATGAGACACAGCTACACATAGCAGATCCCGCATCACCTGGTACAATTTAGCTAGCCCTTCTCTTTCTCTGGAAGGCCCCCTCTCTCCTCTCGGGCAAAGCACGGAGACGTGTCCTTGCCTGTGTATCCCAAGCACCTAATGTGCATCTTGACTGAAGTCCTGGTCAAAGGTGAGTGAAGACTTTAGGCCAAAAGCTTTGTGAAGGTGGCTCCAGTTCTGAAAGTTCCTAATTCTGATCACTGCAGTCCACATTTCTACCTGCTGTGTTTGATGTTTGCCTTTGTTTCTTCCCTTCTGTAGCTGGGAGAAGGCACGCCTCCAGAACCAAAGGGAACATTTGTGGACTATCAGACGACTGTGGTGAAGTACTCCAAAGCCATTGCGGTAACAGCTCAAGAAATGGTAAGGAGAAAAGACTGCCCTGCTGCCCTGTTGTCCCCCAGCCCCCACCCCACCCCACTGAGTCTTTAACTGGGTCTTCCCTGGGAAGATGAGGACCTACTCTTTGTTTTTAGTTTCTTCTGGGTCCTACCTTCTCTCCTTTGCCTGTGGTCCTTCTGGCTGAACCTAGAAGCCCCATTTGGTTCAAATCACCTCAAAAAAAAATTATGCAAGAGAGGATTAACAATAATTGGGCTTGCATGAGGACAGGGGAATGAAGGAAAGAGAAAATGAGAGTTAAAGAGGGAACAAGAAGGAAGGTTAAACTAAAGAGGGAGAAAATCCTATCCACCTTTCAGAAGTGTATTTGTAGATTAAAATCATAATGTAAGAGATGTTTGAGTACAAAATAGAACAAATGAGAATAATTGGAATAAAGGTTTCCAGACAAAGTGAAATAGTTTGTTTCCATAAGATTTTTTTCCTAGCAAGAGGAAAACTTTGGCAGACAATTTTTCTTTGGTGGAAATGTAATGCAATCAAAATTTTGTTGTATGTGTCCTGAGATATCAGTGGAATTGGGAGGCAGTGAAGGATATGTTGATAGAATTAACAGTTCTTACCAAAGATGGCAAATGGAGACCTCAAAGGATTAATAGGAACATGTGGGAAGTTCCTCCTCTCTTTTGAAGACTCAGATGTCCAAGGAACACCTGAAAGCTGCCTCTAACTCTTGCTGCCTAAGCTTGAGAAATCTAGGGGCCTTACGAAGGGGAGAGACCTCACAATCCCTCTCCAGCCTGGCCCAGGCAGACCTCGCTGCATGGCTTTGTCATGCAATCGTGTGTCCACTAGAGGTTGAGCTTGGACCACTAAGCGTCCCTGAAAGCTGCTGCTCAGGGCTAGAAACTCTCTGATTGTGCATCCTTGTTGTTGCTGAAGTCTGGGCCGGGAAGGAGGTAGATCAAATACCCATTTCTGAGTGTGATAAAAATCGCTAGTGTCAGCCTTAACCTTCTCAGGTGCTCATAAGAGAGACCATACGTGAAACCTCATAGCTTTACAGTGCCGATTCCACATAGGCAGGGAGCGCAGGGCAACAGAGGGTTAAACCGGACAGCAGTGGCCTCTTGGGTTCTGGGCTGGCCTGTCTTGGCACTCCGTGTCCAGCCTCTTAAGAAAGCGTTGGTAAACACTTAATAGTTTTCCCTCTGAATATTGAGAGATTTTTTCATTTCTTGATCATAAAAATTGAACTAATAAAATAATCTTTTGTAAAGATGGGGCTCAGGGAGGCAGGCAGCCTCTAGCTGCATCCTTGCTAATGAGATTACAACCTCATACCTTGAGGGGGCGAGAACCCCAGCTCACCTGGTCAAGGTCCTCCCACAGTCACGATGCATCTATTTGGTGAGGCTCAAATTGAGTAGCTCTTGGAATAGCCTCACTCTCTTGAGGTTCAGCCCCTGCTCCTTGGGAACCTGACAGTCTGTGAGTGATGTTCACTTGTAAACAAGCCTTAGATGGTCTGGAGTTCTGTCCTGTCTGCGAGGTTGTGGAAGCATAACATGAGTTATTAAAGTCCTTAAAAATCAAGATCTTAAATGCCAGGAAGGGAGAGACAGTGTGTTGTCCAAAGATAGAGAAGGTCTCACAAAGGAGGTGGGGCTTCTTACCAAAAGAGGAACAGGGACATCTTTCTGAAGGCTAGATAAATCTGCTGTTGCAGAATTTTGTTTTTTGGGGGTGGGATTTTTTTTTCCCCTTTGGCTCTAGTGGAAGAGTAAAAATTAGCAACAAGCACTTATCTGAGTAAGATAAATTGGCATAAATATTCCTATAAATCAGAGAGGAAGGAATGAAACATTTTAATGATAAAAATTAAAGTATTACCATTTGGGCTTCAGGAAACCCTTGGCTAAATTTATGGCTTAAACTTTGTCATCCTTTGGCACAAATCTATCACAGAGTTGCATCCTCTGAATTTCTTCCTTCAAAGCATTTCATTTACTCATTATCTCTCATTGACTATTTCCCTGTCAGCCCTGTTCTCATGCCCTCTCTTGCCCAGGGTGGGGCCCATTTCTGGGCTTCCTGAGACCAGATCAGCTTATGCCCTCTTGTGGTTTCTTTGGGGAACTGCTCTGGGTGTCTTGACATCATTGCCTTCCCCACCCCCCACCGGAGAATGGACAGGGTGGGCCCGCCTCCCCACTGCACGGCCTGAGCACTGAGCATGGTGCCCACCTCGCTGACCCGGGAGGAGCCCTGTGCGGACTGGGCCTCTCGTGTGTGATGCAGCATGGGCTTCGCTTGAATCACCCTCTCCAGCGTCACAGCCCCAAATGCCAGCCCCACTTTCCCCCACTGAAAAGTGAACGAACCCCTGTGGCTTTCAGTGGTATTAACAGATTGTTATGCTTTTCTCTGTGTGTGTGTGTGTGTATGTATGTATTTGTGTCTTGCTTGTTTTCTTTTTCCAGATGACTAAGTCGGTTACTAACCCGGAGGAGTTGGGCGGACTGGCTTCACAAATGACCAGTGACTATGGGCACCTGGCCCTCCAGGGCCAGATGGCAGCGGCTACGGCGGAGCCAGAGGAGGTCTGCCATCCTAGGCCCCCTATTTTAAGAGGCAAACATACGTGGATGCCCACTTCTAGGGGTTTCTCTGTAGCTCAGCTCCACAAGATCCCAGCCAGATAACCAGCCCAAGGCTTAGTCCTGCTTGAGTTTAGTCTGAACTCCCCCTACATACACGTTGTGTTGAGGTTTCACTGACCTGCTGAGATCTTGGCCGCACCTGGGAGGTGGGCTTTCAGTTAGAAGGACCCTGGTAACAGCATTCTGCCACATCACCTAGCTGCCAGCTCATCACCTGTTGCCTCTAACAACCAACCTGTCCAAGCTTGGGCTTGCCAGTGGCAGAACCACACAGTATCTCCATCATCTTCTCGTCTCTTAACTCTCAGCACATCCTCCTTACTTGTCATGTCTTTCAAAGACTCACAGAAGGCTTCGCTGAGCCAAGTATGGGATTTAGCTGGCCCCCTTTAAAGAAAGAGCGCTAAAGTTTGGTTTCATAAAACACAGTCTTGCTGAATTTTTATAGGTGGCTTTCTAGGAACTGGTCCAGAAGCCTACCTCCATGAGACCTACCTGACTTCCCTGAACTCGCTTTCCTAGTGGCCAAAGTAGCCTTGGCCTCCCCTGTGTCTGTCTGGGCCTTTAAGAGCTGGCCACAGTGTTTGTCCTCAAGGGCATTTTCCAAGAGCTTCCATGCCTGAGACTCCTGAGAAGTCAAGTGGTCCACTGAGAAGTACTTAGAGCACCCAGGATCTCGGGTGCCTGATTGTACCTGTGCCAATGGTGCAACATAGGAGGGGCCTGGGATCAGAGGGACTGAATGACTCCTTAGAGAAAGAAAGCTGAATCTAAACTAAAGAATGATGGAATGGATTGCAGGCCACTAGGAAGATGAAGATGACGACGTTCCATGCACATCAGCTAGCTGCTTATGGAGAGCAAATCCTGCTTGAGAAGTTCTTGAAAGAGCTGACTGTCACCGCAGGGGGCTGACTAGTCTTCCCAGCCGCCTGTGATGACACTCAGTGTCCCCTCAGCCACTTGGTGCCACCATTTCTTCTGGGAGTCAGCTCTAAACATATCTTAACTCTCAGAGATACCACAGACAGGGACCTGAAGCAAGATTGCTTTGTAATGTGTGTCATAACAGTGCATGCAAAGCGAATGATCATATATATATGTCCACACAAACATATATATCTAGCATGAGTGTATTTAAGTTTCTAACAATGCTTAAGAATGACTGAACATTTAGGCTGTGGCATGAATAATTCTATTCGTCATGTCTCTATAACATCATACTGAGAAAGAGAAGCTTTTCAGGATTCTGGTTTGGGGTTGTTTTATTTTAACGCAGGCTCTGTTTTGGGGGTTTGATTTGGTGTGGAGTTTTTGTTTTGTTTTTTAAGTAGATACACTGTTTTATAGTAAGGGTCCATCATGCATCTGATGAACAAGTAATTTTTCATTTTGTTAATAAGTGTAAGCAGACCAGATGTTACAGTAAGGAAGAATTTGGGCACGAGGAAAGGAGTGTTTGCTTTAGGAAGGAGTTGAAAATGGAAGGAGATGGTGATTGTGAGGGAGGTTTGGGTCTCTGTCTCCAGGGATCTTTTCAAATAGAACCTGCCTCCATCCCTGGAAATGTTGGCCTGCGAGTTAGCCAGTGAAATACACCAGGCTGTGTGCAGCCCCGTCCGCATCCAGGTTCTCACACGCTGACCTCCCGTCTGTGTAAAACAAGTAGATTCCTGTATTACAGCCCAAACCTCTGAAGCAAAATAGAAAATAATGCAAAGGCAGCCAGCAAAGAAAGTGCATTGCTGAGAGCACATTAACAAGTTACTTCAGCCATGGGCTGTGGCTTTTGTAACAGCTCGTGTTTTCATTAAGGCTTCTCTTTTCACCGTTCATATCTTGAGATGTATTTTTACATTCCAGACACAAGAGCAGTATGACCTGGAGCTCAAAGGGGCAGAGAGAGTATAAAATTACCAGCAGCTTGCAAAGGAGAGTTCTTTTTGTACAATTTGCCAGACAGATATTTTCAGAGGCAGGGGCCGCGTATGTTAGGAGATCCCTGAAGCAATAGAGTTTTCTATTTCAAGATCCTAGAATTATTTGTGTGCCCAAGAGGGCCCCACATCACAGCATGTAAAAATATTTCTATCTAGGGCTTCACGTCTCTGCGGGTGTGCAGTCGCCCGTGCCGAGTCAGCATTCTGGTCTTTTTTCTGGGACCATAACATCGCTGTGAAAATGTCTTTCTTCAGAAAAGTGAAAACCATCCAGCAGATTTCCAATTCAAAATCCTTTTCCTCTTTTAAAAGCAGAAGAAAGGCATTTAGATCCTGCGAGCCACAACTCCTAAATGCAAATCCTAAAGAAAAGATTCTGTGGCGAGGGCTCTTTCTGAGGAAAACTTGCTGTCATTTTTAACACGAGATGCCTTAAAAAGCGAGCAGGGATATTTGTTACAGTGCTTGTTCCAGTAGCTTCTAACACAGGGTGCCTTGAAAGGTAGCAGAGACATTTGTTAACAGTGCGTGGTGAGGACCACAGCCCGTTTCCCCAGGCAGATGGGTGTCCACTCTAGAATTGTCTAAAACTTTCCTCTTCAAGACACACCTTCCACACCTGGGAAAGCTATACACTGCTTCTGTGTGCCTATTCTCTCCCCAACCCTCTTCTTAAAAACAAAACAAAACAAACACTTCTGCTTTTCTTGAAGGAAAAAAAAAATGATAAAATTTGTCACATACCTTCTCCTGTTACCTTTTCAGCTTTGACAGGCTATCCCAGGCAAATGATACTGGATCTGTTTCAAATGCAGTTGTTTCAAGGCTTGAAAAAAGAGCAACCAGAAAACCTCAGTCCATTTTGTTTCACTTTATGCAGGAAAGAAAATGATCATTATTTCTTAGACACCAACAACTGAAATTTGATCTGAAGCTTCGTAAAGGCCAAGCTCCTCATTTCCCTCCAGGCACAAACCCAGGAGATGACTTTGTCCCCTTGACTTTTATTAGAGGAAGAAGGGAACTGAAGATTTTGCTTGAGCCTCAAGTAATGCCTTCTTAAAGTTGCCAACTTAAACCCTGAAGTTTTATGTCTCTGAGCAGCATCCCTGTGTAACAGACACTGAGCTGGCTCTAAGTAGAATCACTAGTTGTATTTGCTGAGAAATGGAGTGTTGCTTTAAGAAGCTTAGCATTTCAAAGCCCCTTCTTTATCTGTCCAGTAATCTCGGCATTTCGTTCTCCTCTATGAACTTAGCATCCAGCTCACCTTCTCTTGCTAGTTAGTACAGAATGTTCCATGAAATTACCAGCAGAGGATGTTGACTTTGTTACCCTTGTGTCTGAGTGCCCCAGTAATCTCTCATGAGCCCATAGGAAATAGTAATAGTACAGTTTTTTATTAAGCCCATACCATAGGTCCAGCACCATGCTCAAGGCTACATTAACACTGTCGCTTACTGCAGCGTGTGACACGAGGGTTGTTTGTTTCCCATTTCTCACAAAGGAGTGGTGATGACGAGTTGCACTACCAACCCAAAGGCACAAGGTTCAAATCCATCAGCAGCTCCTTAGGAAAAAGGTGGGCAGTCTCCTTCCATGTGATTTACAGCCTCTGAAAACCTGCCGGCGGGTCAGCTATGAGTCTGTTCAAACACAATGGCACATATTAACAATCTCTCGCAAATAAACCAAGGCTTGGGCAACTTAAATTTCCCCAGGGCACACTGTTGGAGGGGTTAGAAGTGTGTTGTTGTTAGGTGCTGTTGAGTCAACTACAACTCACGGCAGCAGGATGAACAACACATGGAGACCTTGCCTGGTCTATCCCGTCATCACTATCCCCAGTCCCTGCTAAACTTAAGCCTTTTAGTGAAGTCACTATGGCAGTCCATCTCTTTGAGGGCTTCCTCTGTTTCACATCCTCTTTTTCCCTCTAACTCTCAGGATGATGTCTTTTTCCATGTATTGGCCCTTCCTGACAAATATGTGGCCACTTTAAAGAAGTTTTGTTATAAGTAAGTGGAGAGGAAATCAGGAACCTCACCAGAGTGCTGATGAGCAACGATGTCAGTCTAGAGACTAAGGTGCACATAATCCAGGCCATGGTTTTTGCAATTACTTGTTATGCATCAGAGAGCTGGACAATGATTAAGGATGATGGAAGAATCGGTGCCTCCGTGTTGTGGTGCTGGAGAAGAATCTTGAACATAGTATATATGGACTGCCAAGAAAACAAATAGGTCTGGCTTTAAGAGGGTGAAACCAAGTTTCTCCTTGGAGGCTAGAATTTTGAAGCTCCGTCTCACAAACTTTGGGCACATGGCCAGGAGGGACTGGTCCTTGGAGAATGGCATCATGCTCAGAAAGGTGGAACGACAATGCAGGAGAGGAAGACCCTGGATGAGATGGATTGATACAGTAACTGGGCAAAGGGATAGGTATGTCAGAGTCAGTGAGACTGGCTCAGGTCAGGGCAGGCTTCAGAGCTGCTGTACATTGGGTTGCTCTGGGTCACAGGTGACTCAACAGCACATAACAAGTGGAAGATTCATGTTAGTAAATACATTAACAATAAGTAGGAAAGCAAGGATTTGAACTCAGACTTACTGGATTCTACAAACCTTATTCTTTCCTCCACCCCAAGCTGCTGCCTCTCTGTAGTGGTAAACAGTCTTCCTGTGCACATTTCCACTGAGTCTTCTGGTTGGGGCAGGGCAGGATCTGTCCCATTCTGCAGGTGAGAAAACAAAGGTCTTATGAGGTTAGTGAGCTTGCTCAGAGCCTAGTGGACTTTCTCAGAGCCTGATAACCAGAAGAAGCAGAGCTGGAAGCAAAGCGTGTGGTCTTTTTTGCCACCCCAGCTGCATACATGGGTGAATAGTTGAAAACAGAGGTGAGTGGGATGCTGAGGCCCCAAGATCCCTGCCCTCCTGTTATGTTCAGCCCTCTTGCTCTGAGAAGCCAATTTCAATTCATTCTTGATCTTACTAAGTCCCTGAGTCTATTTCTTGGTTTCTAAAAGAGATTGTGCAACTGGATATATATTTGCATGACTAGCCCTCAGGGAGGTTGCAGGCATTACCAGATAATTGCTGTCACCTGAAACAAACTTGTCTGTTAAGACATTATCCTGGATGAACTAAGAACTCCAAGGACTTCAGCAACCACTAGCATGCTTTAGCTCATCCCTGTCATTTCTGGTGTGGGTTTGTCATGGAGCTCCCTAATGAAAATTTTATCCCAGTGGCCCCTGTGTCCATCCATGTTCCCTTGCTGCACGCTGAGCCCCTGGGTGTGTAACCCTGAATACAAAAAGTTAATGCATTCAGCAGCTAACCAAAAGATTAGAGGATTGATTCCACCCAGAGGCATCTCAGAAATTGAACCCTGAAAAACCTCTGGAGCACAGTTCTGTGCTGACACCTGTGGAGTCATCAAACTCAATAGCAACTGATTTTTGTCAAATCCATCACCCAAACCCAAAGTAAAATGCTGAACAGCAGGACGCTGGTGTGTTTTTAAAGCACTGGATTGCAAGAGGGGGCTGAGGGGTCATGAGAGTGTTGCTGTGTTCCCACCATTTATCATGTGTTTCTGTAGATCTCAGGTTGGAGACCATGGTGGCCCCCTCTCCCAGGGTGATTGCAGAAACTTGTGTTTCTCCCAGAGCAATGTCAGTCTTTCTGCAAACAGGAAACATGGTCTCGCTTCTATGCAGGAAGGAGAATTGCATGGGAGTGTTGTGTAAGAGCCTGAATGTTTCTAGCACGATGTTTAAACCATGTTTTTTTGAACTCTGACCCAGGGAGGGCCCTGAAGGTTCTATACATGCTTGACTTGAGGCTCATTTTATAAACATAACTTGACTTTGTGAAGAACTCTCAGGAAGAGCTGCATGGACTCCTGAATGTGTTTTACGTGGAATGTAACCATGAGGAACCACTAGTGTGTGACTCGGGAACACAGAGGGCATGGTGATTAAGCATTTTGCTGAGAACTAAAAGGTTGATGGTTCAAACCTGCCCAGCTCCTGCCAGGTATGCTCTCTGCTTCCTTAATGATTACAGTTTAGGAAACACTAGGGACAGTTCTAAAATTTAAAAATCGACAACACTTAATAACAATAGTGCATTAACCTGGCTGCTGGCAGGGTTTTGTGGCCATTCTGGGCTGATACAGTTTCTACCTTTGTTGCTTTGGTTGTGTAACTACAAGACAAGGACTGTCTTTTACTGTTAATTACACACATAACAAGGTTCTCTCGAAGTATACGATCAAAGCAAAATAAATTATTTAGTGACTGAGATGGCCTGGCCTTCCTAACTCCCGTCTTTAAAACTTTAGTTCATTCCATTTCATTGTTGCCTTTCCGTTGAGTTGAGGAAGTATATGTTAAATGATGACATACTGCTGCTATTTCTGTGTTGAAATCCTACGGGATTCCATCTGAGGTTAAAAGCTTCTTTCTACTATGGGGAAAAAATGTTAGAGAAGCATTCTCATCTTTCTCTGCTTGAGACCTGCTTTCTGATCTTGGATAATACATCACTTCACTGAGCCACAGTCTCTTCCATCAAATGGGGAGGTTGCACCTAATGTCTCTTTTTAAATCTATAAACGGTTTTCTTTCCAGTCCCTTCTCCACTTGGCTTTCCCAGCACGTCCTAACTTTTAGGGATCCGCAGTCATCATTGACTGTAGACTCTTGCTTTGGGATTATCCTTAACATTTGGTGCCAAAACCAGAAACTGTCACCATCAAATCAGTCCCAGCTCGTGGCAGCCACCTGTGTGTCAGGGTAATGTGGTTTTCAGTGGCTGACTGTTCTCAAGTAGGTGGCCAGACCTTTCTTCCAAGGTGCCTCTCGAACCTTCAACCTTTGGTTAGCAGCCAAGCACCCTGTTTGCACCATTCAGGGACTGACACCTGAATATTAGGATGAAGATACAGAGTTCTTAAAGGTCTTAAAAGACTTTTTTAAAGTTCTTTTGGAACTTTAATGAGACATCTCCCTGCTTCAGCTTCACCTTGTTTTTAAATCAGTATATGTGTCTAGCTAACTTACAAGTTTAATCAGCGCTTACCACTGTGTTTTCTTAGGCAACATTTCCCTCCTTAGTTAAAAAAACCTCAAGCTTATTGCCGTCAAGTTGATTATGAGTCCTGGCTCTCCTCTGCTAGGTTTCTGAGGCTTTAAATCTTAATGGGAGGAGGCTGGCCATCTTTTTCTGAGGATCCACTATTGGGTTCGAACCACTGAAGATGTGTGGACTTTGAGTTTGCAATTACAGCGCACTATTGACTGTACCACCGGAGATCCTTTTGGGAGCAGTCGTCCAGACCTGTTTGAATCGTTGCCTCACTATCTCAGACAGAAGCACCACTCATCATGCATTCTCTATGCAGCTAATTGACAAGACATTCCTGCCTGTTAGGAAGGTGTTTGAAGCTCCCAGTGTATGATAAAAGACATCCCAAAAAGCAGAAGGTCGACTTCCTGGTTTAGGAGAATATTCTACTAAATATATTTAAAGTATTTTAGGACCGATAAAGTTAAAGGGGAAAACCCTTCTCCCTAAAAGCAGTGTATGTTTAAATACCCAGACGGGATGAACAGTTGCATCTGCAAAACCACGCTCCCTGACTTGTATCCGTGGAGATGGTATCCAAAGATGATTGAAAGCCTCACACGTTTTATCAGTAGTAACTGAGAGTTTTTGCCTACTGTGGATTCTTGAAACTAATACTTACTTGGCCAGTGATTCATTTTGATTTTGTTTCCAGTTGTTTGTGTGGACTACAGGGTAGCTGACTTAACAGGAGCAGTATTGATCAGTCCAAAATGAAAATGATGTGAGCCAGAGGACTGCAAACTTGGGGTGGGGGGCAGTGGTGGAATTTATTACGTTTTAGAGGAGACAGCTGGCAGCTTGTTCATAGTGCTGTTCATGTGGCTTTTCAGCCAGCAGCAGAACTTTGAAGTGGGCACTTTACGGTCACTCAGCCAGGATCATTTCAAGTGTTCCTGTCTGCTGAGCCTTTAGCTCTGAAAATGCATCTTTTTAAGGAAGCCTCAAACTTGGTTAAAAGAGATAGGGTACCTCAGGGCAGAGGATGTCCTGGTTGGTAGACATCATCAATTTTGCAAGAATTTGAACACTTCAAATATACTTAATAGAAAATCTGTAGTCCAAATATAAATATAGTAGGGTGGTTGGGAGGGATAAGAGAAATGTAATGTGTCCCCTGCCCAGAAGAGGGCAACACACAGTAGGAACTCAATAAATAAATGCTTTTTGAAAGGATCCCACAAAGTTCAGCTCATCATTCTTTTTTTTTTTTTTTTTCAGCTCATCATTCTTAAGAGCAGCTCAGGACACAGATTAGGTATAAATCAGAAGAAGTGATAAAGATATTGGGACAACATGACAGGGTGAGCAGAGAGGCATTATTTACTGTACACTGGGCATTTCACAACCTCTGAAAAGGGAAGCAAAATCAACCAAATTCCATACTTCACCAAACACAGGCTCTCAATCAGAGTGGAATTTTCCTAGCCAGGCTCCCATAGGACGGAGGAGAAATTTTCCATGTAGGGAAGCCCTCCATGGTCGGGCTCACCATGCTTGCTCCTCACTGTTAGATGTATCTCCACAGATTGGATTCCAGATCCGGACTCGGGTGCAGGATCTGGGCCACGGCTGCATCTTCCTGGTGCAGAAGGCCGGGGCCCTCCAGGTGTGTCCCACGGACAGCTACACCAAGCGGGAGCTGATCGAGTGTGCCCGCGCCGTCACAGAGAAGGTAAGAGCAGCCCTCGGCCTGACGCTCCCTCAGTTACGGGCCTCCCTGTGACCAGGGACATGGTCTGGAACCTGAGCCCCAAAATCAGGCAAGTCAGCCGTCTCGCCTTTCCCCTCACAGGAGGAGATGCATCTGGGCACGGGTGGGGGGGGGGTGATCATGTACTATGAGATTGAGGGACAGAAGTAACTGTCCCATAAAGGTCCCTGATGGGTGACTTTGAAGGGCTGTCTTCTGGACAGATGCTAGTTAGAACAAGTAGCCAGGAGACTGCTGAGGGGTGGAGCTGGAGCCTCTCCCTTTGAGGCCTTCTGCCAGTGTGCCCCCTTTTTAAGCAGCCCTTTTAGAACAGTTATTAAGCAGTTAGCTGCTAACCAGAAGGTAGGAAGTTCGAGTTCGCCAACCCCTTCATGGGAGAACAGTATGGCAGTCTACATTTATGATGATTAACTCACTGCTGTCAAGTAGATTCCAAAATGTAGTGCTATAAATATGTATAAGGTTGACTGCCCATCTTTCTCCCACAGAGCTAATGGTGGACCTGAACTGCTGACTTTTCGATTCACAGCCCAACACACAACACACTATGCCACCAAACCTCTTCTGTAATCATTACAGCTTTGGAAACACTATGGGACAATTCTGCTCTGCCCTATAGTCACTAGGAGTTGAATCAATTCAACAGCAATGGATTTTTTTTGTCTCAAAGGGGCTCTCAGGCGGCTGAGGACTGAAAATTCCTGCCCTGCATCCTCTTTATTTGTGTAGAGGACAGTGAAGCAGAGTGAGGGCTACATGACTTGCTCATTTGTGGAAGAGCTAGAGGTGTTGAACCTGTCAAGGCAGCAACTGGTTTTAGAGAAAAAAAATCACAGAGTAGTGAATAACACTTTAAGATCTTAGATACGTTGCTTCTCTGTTTCCTCATCTGTGCAATGGGAATGAAGATAAAATACCTGACTGACTAGGCTGTGAAGGCCAGATACCTAAACATTCCATAAATACCAGCTGGTTGTCTCTGTAAACTCATTTCTCCCAGGAAATTTTCCCTGGGAAACAAGGCCCCATCCTGAGCTTCCTTTCCTTCTCAGTACCCCTTCCATTCTCCCACAACGTATTCATCTTTTGCTCTTCTTGCCCCTCAGAGTCACATTTCAAATGAGCTGTTTTGCGGAATGCTGAGAGCCTGGGCTTTGTGTGCTTCTGCCCTCCTTTTACTTTTGCTTTATGGATATAAAACCCTGTACTGTTAGGAACTGGGCAGCAAGACTTGAGGGGTGGATGAGAGGCAACCCTGAATCAGAAGCTGCTGCTACAGAGGCCGCTCTGTATGCGGATGGCTCTCACTGAGGCCTCTCAGACTGGCCTCTCGAAGCCACAGGAGTGTCCCGGCTCCCTGGACTCCACAGAATGGGAAATAAATCTGTCGGCTCGAGGAAGGCCTTTTCCTGGCTTTCAAAGCCTTTCTTTGTTATTGAAGTTCCTTTGGTCATGTTCCCCCATGGAAGACCTGTGGGTGGTGGAACTCCAGGCTGCAGAATGTTTGTAAGAGGGTCAGACACCTCCTTCTTCCTGCAGTGGGCTGACCTGCTGCTGCTGAAGGGGGAAAACTCCACTGAGGACACAGTTGCAGTCTCTCTAATTTCCTCACCCACCCGTGTCCCCCTGACATATCCTTCTTACATACGTTGGTTGTGTGAATGGCCCATCACCCTGAGCTTCCTGACTCGTTCACCTCTGTGTCCTCTGCCGTTCATGACCCAGGAGATGCTTGCTAAGGCCCTACTTACTTGTGCACATTTCTCAGGGGGCAGGACACAGGGGCTCATCCAGGCTGGGAACGTCCCATGGGGTCCCTGATTGCTCTTGACCATGATCACACGTCCTCTGGGATTTCTTTCTAGAAACCAGATCCCTCACTCCCAGACCAGCTCTACCCTGGTGCAGCTTGTCCCTGATGGGACCTAGTGATATTTAACATAAAGAGGGGAGGAAGAGAAGCTGTCCTTCCGAGCTGGTTCCTCTGTCCCTCCTGCCTGGCGGCATCCTGGCTTCTGCACAGGAGCACAAGAGAGAGAGAGGTGGTGTCTCCAACACTGAGTCTGTGTCTCTTACTGTTACTGTAACACCCTGTCCTGTCCAGGAAAACATTTACAGACTCTTCCCTGTGTCAGACTAGTCAAGCATATGCTGTGTTGAAATTGATAAAACAGCTCCTTCCCTCCCACCTGCCCTGGAATCTTCTTTAACCAAATAATAAAAACCCTAAACTCAGGGCCATTGAGATGATTCTAGTTTATAGTGAACCTAACAGGACAGGATAGGACTGCCACATCTTCTTCTACCCAGTAGCTGGTGGTTTCAAACCTCCAACCTTTGCATTAGATGTCCAGCGCCTAACCACTGAACCACCAAGGCTCCTTAAACCGAAGGGTAACTCAGTTCATTGCCATTAAGTCAGAACTGACTCATAGCTGCCCCTCCAGCTTTTTTCCAGGATTTTCAGCTGCTATAAAATCAGAGGCAAGGACATGGCCTATCTTTTTAGTATGAAGCATCTGGTGGATTAGAACTGCCTGCCTTTGGGGCATTTACTGATGCCTCTGAGCAGCCGTCAGTAAAGAATACCTACCTGCCTTGACCTTGAATATTATGCTCTTTGAAGGACTATCTCTGTGGAATCAAACTGACAACAGCAACTCAGGAGCAAGGAGTTTATGTTAATAAGGGAGGAACAATTTGGGAAAAGGATTAAAAGAGCTGCAGGGAGCTCAGGTTCTCTGCAGAGCCCTGGGAGAACTGCATGCTCATGACAGGGCCAGATCTGAAAGGGCTTAAGAGGGGAGACAGTGAACCCTGGTGATGTGGTACCGGATGTGTGGGACTGTAACTGAGAAGTGCTTCACATCCACCCATTGCTTGAGTAGAGAACAATGGATGGATAGTCTCCTGTGGTGAAGATTTATAGCCCCAAAGAGGGTTAGAATCAACATGAGAGCTGAGGGTGGGGTAGGAGGGGAAGAAGGAGGGACTGGCCAGTTCCTGGAGAAAGGCATCAGGCCTGGTAAAGTGGAGGGTCAGCAAGACAGAGGACAACCCTTAACAGGGTGGATTTACCCTGTGGTTGCAATAGTTGATGCAAGTGGAGATTTTGAGGATAACCCCAGGTCAGGCGGGGGCCCCATTTATTGTGCAGGAGTCACCTCAGCAGCATCTAACAACCACAACAATGGGGGATTTCTGGCATGGAAGACATTGAGTGAAACCTCCACCAACTTGCAGGACCCTTTGGTCACTGTGATTATTACTCAGTGATAGTGGATCCACAGACGTGGTAGGTACACAAGGGTACACATGCACATACCCTCGGGGCTTCCTCCTTGTGGCCCATTAACTCAAGTGGCAGCAGGAAGGTGCAGTCCAGACTGCGTCTGTTTGATGGTAAATTTATGCTGTTAACCCGGAGTGTACAGTGGCAGCAGGAAGGACCATTGTGTTCAGAGTTAGTGCCATTTCTCCACCTCCTCGCTCCCTCCCATTCTCATTCTTCCTGCAGGTGTCCTTGGTACTGTCTGCTCTCCAGGCCGGGAACAAGGGGACACAGGCATGTATCACAGCTGCCACTGCCGTGTCTGGGATCATTGCCGACCTGGATACCACCATCATGTTTGCAACCGCAGGGACCCTGAATGCAGAGAACAACGAGACCTTCGCGGATCACAGGTATGAGAGCAGAGCCCACGCACCAGCTCTCGGACAGGAGACGGCCAGGCCATTCTGCCTGAAACTCTGTGATGGGTATGAGTGATGCTATGATGCTACCCTTCCCAGAAGCTGGAGTGTGGTTGTCTCCTTTTACTTCAGTGAGATGGTCAAGGGAGGAAAGTGGATCCATAATCAAAGCACATCCCTTTCACCAATTGTAAATACAGTGTTAGCGTTTAGGTTTTTGTCTTTCACAGAGGAAGTTTGATTTGTTTGTTTTAATTTTCACTTTCTAAGCACCAGAGAGCTGTTTCTCTAACTTGCTAGCCTACCAACCCCAGTGGAATCAGTGGCACATTGAGCCCATACGAGGTTTTAGGGAGTAGGGTTCCCAGCCTGATATCTTTCCTCCTCATTTTCTCATAGAGAATGGTTGGCTCTTCAACCCACTCCCCTCAGAAGGCTGATGTCAGGGGCTCCCCAGTTGCAGCCGAGGACTCCTATGTAAAAATCCCTACCATGTATCCAGCACCTTTCTTTCTCTTTGTCCTGAGGCTGAGCCAATAGAGGAGGTTTCCCAGTGCTCTGTCATCCTTCCAGTACCTGACCTCCTGGGCTCTGATGTCTTAGACATGGTGTCCCAATTCCTATGTCCTCATGCTCACTCTCCCAATAGAGAGATTTAAGGGACTGTAGTTGCCACAGAAACAAGGCTAACCTTTTATTTAAATGCAATGCTGGGGAAGAGAGGCCAGATTGGTGGGCCTGAGTCATTTCTTGAGACTCTCATGTTCATCCAATGTGTGAGTACTCTGTGGGCTCTGCTCACCTCTGCAGTTTTTCCTACACAGAAGGTGAAAGCCCATGACTGGGGAAGGAAGCAAACCAGCTCTTTTCTTCAGAGCCCGTTAATGAAACCCAGAATAACCAAACAACACACTGTCTTTGAATCCATTCCAGCTCATAACAGCTCTATAAGACAGAACAGATCTGCCCCCTAGGGCTTCCAAATAGGGATTCAGTGTTTACCGGAGCAGACTGCTTCATTGTTTGCCCATGGAGCAGCTCACCTGCTTACTTATTGCTATTATATTGGTGCCAACTCATAGCTGACCCTCAGTTGGGTTTCCAAGGCTGTGGAGTCACAGGAGAGATTGACCATCTTTCTCCTTCAGAGCTACCGATGGATTTGAACTGCCAGAGAAGCACAACTTTTAGAAATATCATTCCCTGTGGACTAGATCACCAGAGCTCCCCTGCAGAGCAGTCTTATCATTCTTGCTATGTGCTATTGGGTGGGAACCACTCATAGCTGACCCTCTAATGGGTTAACAGAGGCAATACATCGCACAAAAGGGGATTGCCCATCTTTCTCTGGTGGAGATGCTGGATTCAAACCACATGCCTTTGGGTTGGCAGCTCAACTCCTTACCACTAAGCCACCAGAGCAAACCGCTTTGGTTGGCAGCTGAGCAGATTAACCAAGGCACCATCAGACCACTTCTTTAATGAAAAGCTCCCTACACAAAATCTCTTTCCCAATGATAAAAAAAAAAAAAAAAAAAACCCAAACACATCCAACTATGTCCTTTATCTCTTCCCTGTTTTCTTTCCTAACCCGGTTTCTCAGGGAGAACATTTTGAAGACAGCTAAAGCCTTGGTTGAAGATACAAAACTACTGGTATCCGGGGCTGCATCCACCCCAGAGAAGCTGGCCCAGGCGGCCCAGTCCTCAGCAGCCACCATCACTCAGCTCGCCGAGGTGGTCAAGCTGGGGGCAGCCAGCCTGGGCTCCGATGACCCTGAGACACAGGTAGGAGTGGGGCTTGGGGAATGAGTCCTCCTCTGTCTCACATAATTAGAGTAGGACTGCATTAGAGTGTGCCCTAGACCCCAGGAAAGCACCCAGGAACCTCGAAGTAAACAATATGTGATTGAGTATGTTTGTGGATTGGTGGACGGGTAAGCAGCAGTTATTATTACTGTTAACTGACACTGAGCTGGCCTGTGAGTCATGGCAGCCCCGTCCACAGTGGAATGGAATGCTGCCCTGTGTCTATTATGATCCACAGAGTTTTCATTAGCAGAGTTTTGGAAGTAGATCATGCCGATTCCAGCCCATGTGTCCCGTGTACAGGCCATCTAGTCCATCTTACTCTGGAATCTCTGCTGACGTTCAGCATCACAGCGACATCCCAACCCTCACTGATAAGTGGATGGTGGTGGCGCATGATGTGGACTCAGACATTGATCTCCTGCATGGGAAGCAGTTATCCAAGAGAGACAGATAATGGTGTGGACAGTGTTGGTGGAGTGTGGAGATAAAGAGGCAGATTTGGAAGAAATTCAGAAGAAAGTCTCAACTAGGTTTAACAATTGAATGCAGTGAGCTTTTGGAGATAGAAGGAAGGGTAGGGGTAAAGGTGACCCTCCTCCCATTCCAGGCTCCAGCGGTGAATGTTGGGAGGTTTCAAGAACTAAGGGCCCCAGAGGAACTAAAGGCCTCCGTGAGGAAATGAGAGCAAGAACTGTTCAGGGCATGTTGAATTAGAAGTGCCAGTGAGGCAGACAAATGGAACTAACAAATAGGCATATGCTCACTCCATTCAGAGATGGGATTCAGGGATTGATGGCGCAAAGATAGGGACCTCAAATGCAGATGGGAAAAACTTGGGGTGTGGGGAGAAGAAAGAGGAAGCAAAACATTTAACACTCATTAAAGGGGAAAAGATTGAAAAGTAGCAGCAACTTGTGGAGGGGAAAGCCAGGAAGGTGTGATGCTAGGAGAAGGGTTTCAACCCATCATAGAGGTGATGGTCTGAAGAGTTGACCTGAGTGCTATGGAAGGCATTGGTGAGCCCAGCAAGGGGTGCGTGTGTGGAGTGACTGGACAGCAGAAAGCTGAGGATGAAGAAATGAAGTCATCCACTGCGGGTGACCTCACGGAAATGTTTGACTCTGGAATGGAGTGGAGATAGAAAATGGAGAAATGGAAGAGGGGTTTAAGATTTCATAATGCCCTTTTTCAGATTTAGCAGATGTTCTGAAATTGTTTGGGTTTTTAAATTTGATTTTGTTGGTTTGCACAAATGATTCATATTCATTGTGTTGTGTACATGTATTTTGTGTTTTGTGCAGTCTTTTCCTACAATCTGTGTTTCATTCCTGAACCTTGTGTTTTAATCACTCATTACGTTCTATACAGTCACTCTTGCTCCATGCCTGTCACCACCTCATCTTTTCAAATCTCTACTGTTTCCCAATCCTTCATATCCCCTCTACCACCAGCCTCTGCTATCCCAGTGAATTTTCCCCTTCCCCTTTTTCTGCCTCTCCTTCTCCCCTTCTCCTTCCCCTTGTGAACATTTATATATATCTTGCTCAATTATCCTTCTCTTGTCACAATAGTGCCCATATGCAATATTTATCCTTATGTGACTGAGCTATTTCACTCAGAATCATGCTCGGCAGTCTCTCCCAAATTGTATAGTATTTTATGAAGTCATTGCTCCTTAGGCCTGCATATATTTCATTGTGTGAATACCATAATTTCTCATTCTGTTTTATTTGTTGATGGGCTTAGTCTGTTACCACCTTCCCACTATTGTGAATAACACTGCTATAAGCCTCAGTGTACATATCTCCATTAGTGTCTCAGTTCCTATTTCCTTGGGATATAGTCCTAGCAGTGGAATATGGGATTTCTATATTCAGCTTTTTGAGTAAACACCAAACTGCCTTTCATAGAGGTTGTACTATTTTACAATCCCGCCACCAGTGCATGAGTTCCTGTCTCTCCACTTCCTCTCCAACATTTATTATTTGCTGTGTTGCTGAACTTTGCTATAGCTACTGGAGTGAGATAGTATCTCATGTTTTGATTTGCATCTCTGTTAGTGCTAGTGAATTTGAACATTTCCTCATGTGTTTCTTGGCCTTCTGAATGCTTCTTTTGTAAAGAGTCTTCTGCCCATTTTGTCATTGGATTATCAGATTATTTTTCTTGTGGGAAGCTCTCTTGTTGCTTGTTGTTATGTGCCATCGAGTCACCTGTAACTGACTCATAGTATTCTATAAACTTTTGTTATGTGACCTTTGCCTGAAATAATCATTGCCAAATCTTTTTTCCAAATCTGTGAGCTTTCTTTTCACCTTACTGGAGAAAGTTTTTGATGCACATAGGAATTTTATTTTAAGGAGGTCCCATTCATCAATTTTATCTTCTCAGGGTGAGCATTTTTGGTTATGTTTGCAAGCCTGTTTGTGCTGTAGACCCAGGCCTCTTAATTTTGTTTCTGTTTTGTCTCTCATGATCTTTATGGTGTGTGTTTTATTCCCAAGATGTTTGCCTGTTTCTTGGTTACCTATCCTAGATCCTGAGCCCCTCAAGGATAGCCCTAACCAAAAAAGTCACTCATGCTGTCCCCCCATGTTGTAGAGAAGAGCTGCACCCCATGGGTCTTTATGGCTGTGACCTTTAAAATGTGAAACCTACGATCTTTCTGCTGTGGCACCTGGGTGGGTTCAAGCCATTAACTTTTCGATTAACAGCTTAGTGTTTAACTGTTTGTAACCCCCACACACTGAAGGAGACCTTCAAGAACAGTAACTATTAATAAGTTTATTGATCTTTAAAACCTGAACACAAAACAGAGTCCCAAGCATGTAGTGGATACAGAACAAATACTTGTTTAGTGGTTGTAGAACTGACAGCCAACCACAACCATGAAGAAACAATATAAAACTGAAACACCAACAAAATGTTTTCTGTCCGTTATTCATATGATAAATGCTTCCATCTTCTCTGCTTAACCTGTATGTAACAAACTCAGTTTCTTTTTCTACACACACATTATAACTGTTGTTTTTTTAACACATCATAAAATCTCACTCAGCATGCCCTGTGAGTTTCCTCTGAGCACTAACATGTGGGCATGTTAGTTGCATGAGCACATTGTTGTTGTTCTTGTTATGTGCCGTCGAGTCACCTGCAACTCATAGTGGTGTACAACAGCCCTAAACTCTGCCCTATCCTGTGCCAATCTCACCATCTCCAACACACCTATGCCCATTATCCAGTCCATCTCACCAAGGGTCTTCCTCTCCTGCGCCGTCCCTCCACCCTCCCAAGCATGACGTCCCTCTCCAAGGACTGGTCCCTCCTTGCAACATGTCCAGAGTATGTCAGATGAAGCCTCAGAATCCTTGCCTCCAAGAAACAGCCCAGCTTCAGCCTCTCTAGGACAAATATGTTCATTTTCTTAGGAGTCCATGGTATATTTAATACTCTTCTCCAACACCACAGCTCAAAGGCATCAATTCTCCTCCTATCCTCCCTAGTCATTGTCCAACTCTCTGATGCATAGCAAGTGATTGCAAAGACCATGGCATGTATCAGCCGCACCTACGTGAGCATACGGTATGTGAAAAATACCATTTAGCCACAACTGCATAGAAAACACCATCCACTGTTGGTGTGGACGCTTCTGTGCATGTTAACAAAGGCCCACAGCTTTGTTCCATGTGGTCATGGCTCCTCTGTTTCCTCCACGCTTGGCTGCAGGAAAGCTTTATGAGGAAACATTCCTCATAGTGCCTTTTTACTCCTTTCTGGGTGTCTTTTTTATAATGTCAGAATGCAAATGCTGGAATTCTAAATATTCCCAGAGATCTTTGCCTCTGGTGTTGTTTTTACCCCCATTAAGGAAGGAAAAACGTGAAAATGTACTCACTCAAATTGGGACCATACAACAAAAACACTTTCTGATTCAACTTTAGGAAAAGCCAGCTGGCCAGAAAGATTTCAGCCCTTCAGCACAGAGAAATGTACTGAATTGCTGTACAGTTTTCACTTTCAAATGGTCTGAATATTTGGACTCAGCTGAATTAAAACAAAACAGAAAAAACACAAACTAAAAATTTTCCCTCACTGAATTCTACATGTTAAAATGGTTGAAATGGCTAATGTTTTATTAAGTATAGATTCTATCACAATTTAAGGGGAAAAAATCCTTTTAGAAAATTGTTCTCACTCTGGTGAGTTGTCGGTTGACCAAGGATAAGATGAGGTACCCGGATGTTGGTAGCTGACTTTTGCTTTTGGCCCTGAGCTCCTCACGTCCCTTACCGTGGTGATCCTGGAAATCAGTGCACGGTCAGTGCATGCCACACTGACTTTTAGACGTGGTGTTGGAGGAGAGTTTTGAATAGACCCTGGACTGCCAGAAGAACAGGGTGTTCTGTTTTGGAGGAAGTAGAACCAAGGCATGCCCTAGAAGCAGGGATGGGGAAACTTTGTCTTACATACTTTGGGCACATTGTCAAGAGAGGCTAGTCCTTCAAAAAAGACTGCTGTGAAAGGGAGAGGGTCAGCGAAAGAGACAAAGACCCTCAATGAGATGGATTGGCAAAAGTAATGCAACAATGGGCTTGAGGAGGACAGAGATCCTGAGGCTGATGTGGGACAGGGCAAGGGACTGATCTGTTATTCATAGGTCACTCTGAGTTGTAAGTGACATGATGACCCCTAACAAAAACACATTTTCACACATATCATCCCATTAACCTTCACAGCAGTGTGGGGAGATAGATACGTAATCCCATATGTCAGTGAGGAGCTTGAGCTTAACAGTTTTGTATGATATGTCAGTGAGGAGCTTGAGCTTAACAGTTTTGTATGGAATCTAAGTCCATAGAGGAACACACTGGCCAGAACCTGGATCTGTGCCCTAAAGACCCCACTCTTTGATGGTGAACATGGGATTATTGTTCCCACTTGTAAAGGAAGCAGTAATGATTACATGAGATGATGTATGGAGAGTGCCTGGCATGGTGCCTGGAGGACTGGGCTCTGCATGTGACGCTGTTACTGTAGAGTGTCGAATTGTTGTTCCTAGACTGAGGAAACTTAAATGCCATGCTGGGCGTTGTCTCGTTCCTAAGTGTGACTGGTACTTCCTATTCCACATCCTCTTTTGTCAAATGATCTATTTTGGTTGTTGTTGTTGTTGTTGTTGTTGTTATTGTTGTTGGGTGCTATTGAGTTGAGTATGATTCATAGTGACCCTGTGAAGAGCGGATCTGAATCCTGGCCTATCCTGTGCCATCTTCACACTTCCTGACACACTAGAGCCTATTGTGGCAGTCATTATGTCAATCCACCTGGTCAAGGAGAGGTCTTCCTCTCCTTTGCCAACCATCAACTCTTCCAAGCATTATGCCCCTCTCCAAGGAACATGCCCAAAATATGTGAGGCAAAACTTCATCGTTCTTGCCTCCAAAGAATGCTCTGGCTGCACCCTTTCCGAGACTTATTTATCTGTTCTTTTGACAGTCCATGGGAGGTTCAGTACTCTTCTCCAACACCACAGCTCAAAGGCACAATTTTCTTCTTCTGTCATCCCTGTTCATTGCCCAGATCTCAGATGCATAGCAATTATTTGGAAAAGACCATGGCTTGAATCAGCACCTTAGTCCTCAAACTGGCATCATTACCCCTCAATAATTTGGAAAGGTCCCTAACTGCAGACTTTCCTAGTGCAATACGACCCCTGATTTCCTAACTGCTGGTACCAAACGTGTTAATTGTGGATCATAGTTAGATGAAGTTGTTGACATTTTCAGTCTCTTCTCTATCCACTGTGATTTTGCCTGTCTGTCCAGTGGTAAGAAACGTTGTTTTCTTGACATTGAGATGCAATCCAAATTGAAGGCTGCATTCCTTGATCCTCTACAATAAGTGCCTCAAGTCTTCCTCACTTTCAGCAAACAAGGTTGTCTCATCTGCATAATGCAGGTTATTGATGAGTCTCCCTCTGATCCTGTTGCCACATTCTTCTTCATAGTCCACCTTCTTGAATTATTTGTTCAGTGTACAGATTGAATAGGTATGGAGAAAGAGTACAACCCTGACACACAACCTTTTTAATTTTAAGCCATGCAGGGTTCCCTTGCTCTGTTAGTCATTGTTAGGTGCTGTTAACTATGACTCATAATAACTCTATGAACAACGGGCCTGAACCCTGCCCTGTCCTGTGCTATTCTCATTGTCTCTGACACCTTGAACCCATTATTGCAGTCACTGTGTCCGTCCACCTGGTTGAGGGTCTTCCTCTCTTTCGCTGACACTCTACATTTCCAAGTATGCTATCCATTTCCAGGAAATAGTCTTCTCAATAGCCCCAAAGGATGTGAGACGAAGTTTCAGCATCTTTGCCTCTAAGGAGCATTCTGGCTGCACATTTTCTTTGACATACCTGTTTGTTCTTTTGACAGCCCATGGGACATGCAGTATTCATCTCCAGTACCACAGCTCAGATGCATCAGTTCTTCTTGTGTCATCCTTATTCATTCATTGTCTAGCTCTCAGATGCACAGTAAGCAATTGAAAAGACTATGGCCTGAATGACAAGTTCAGTCTTTTCTCCATCTATCATGATGTCATTTATCAGTGCAGTGGTGAGGATTTTTGTCTTCTTGATGTTGAGATGGAGTCCTCATTGAAGGCCATGGTCTTTGATCTTATGCAGCAAGTGTTTCACGTCCTCCTCACTTTGAGCAAGCAATCTCTGATCACCATTACGAGAGAAAAGTGAATGTAGACAACACACACCTCTGTATTCATTCATTCCGCCAGTATTAATCGATTGCTTCTATGTGCCAGGTATTGTTTGAACATGAACCAAAACAGAAAATGTCCAGGCCAGTTCACATACAAGTAGGGGAAAGAGACACACAGTTCATGATTGAATAACTGAACAAGTAATTCCGTATACCAACATTTGTTGTTTTTGTTATGTGCCTTCAAGTCACTTGCAACTCATAGCGACCCTATGTACATCAGCTCTGAACCCTACTCTATCCTGTACCAACCTTATTGTCTCTGACACACCTACCCGTTACACCAGTCACTGAATCAATCCATCTCATCAAGGGTCTTCCTCTCCTGCATTGTCCCTCCACCCTTCTAAGCATGACGTCCCTCTCCAAGGACTGGTCCTTCTTTGCAACATGCCCAGAGTATGTCAGACGGAGCTTTAGAATCCTTGCCTCCAAGGAGCAGCCCGGTTTCACCCTCTCCAGGATGAACATGTTTGTTCTCCTAGTTGTCCATGGTATATTCAGTACTCTTCTCCAGCACCACAGCTCAAAGATGCATGCTGGAATAAAGCAGGATAGTGTCCTTGAGAGGGACTTGGTGTTTGTGGATGGGTCTAGACCTGAGTGGTCATGAAGGGTCTCGGAAGCTGTGTCCCTGGAGTTGAGACTTAAATGATGAGGGCAGAAGGGATAGTAGAAGCAAAGACCCTGAATCAGGAATAAGTCAGTCACCATCATATAGAAAGAAGGCAATGCCTAAAGCGTGTCAAATTAAGCAGTAGATCCCAGGAACCACAGCTGGCGAATTGGATGGGGGGGCCCCACGGAAGCTCATCTGATCTGGGGGTGACATTTAGATTTGCTCTCAGTGTCTCTTCTTCACTGGTTTGGACAAGCTAGTGAGAGCTGCCTGCGTAACTACCTTCCTTTACGTAAGGCACAGCTGTTATCTTGGAGGGTTATTTAGCCCTGAGTTCTCCTTGCTAGCTAAATTCCATCTACACCTGAAGTGCTTTCCAAAGTCCAGATGCTGTGTCTTCACCCAGATTCTTGAATCCGAATCTCCATGGGCAGTACCCTTACTAGACAGCATTCTTGAGAACTGCTGACTTAGAGTCTGCTCTTTTTTGTCCCCAGCTTCCTTGTCGTGCCTGTGGGCTGTGTGTTCCTCATGGTCAAGTGAGCTTGGCCTCTGCTCATCTGTGCCCCCACATTCTTTCAGGTGGTCTTGATCAATGCCATCAAAGATGTAGCCAAGGCCCTTTCGGATCTCATTGGTGCTACCAAGGGAGCTGCCAGCAAGCCTGCTGATGACCCCTCCATGTACCAGCTCAAGGGGGCAGCCAAGGTAGGCTGGGGTCCATACAAGGGGTGCTGGAATGAGAGAAGCTGATGCCAGAATGTTGAGGGAATATGTATCTGGGAGCATTTATCTTTTCAAGGAAAGATGGTTTTGTTCATGTGATTAGATCTAAAGCCAAAATAAATTGGCCCCAGACAACAGAGTACTGTTGGTTCTCTCCCTATGCAGGTGATGGTGACCAATGTTACCTCACTCCTCAAGACTGTGAAGGCAGTGGAGGACGAGGCCACACGAGGCACACGGGCACTGGAGGCCACGATCGAGTACATCAAGCAGGAGCTCACGGTAAGGGCTACCGGTTGCCGCTGTCTTAGGCACCAGTGTCCGAAAAGTGACACACCTGTGAGCCAGAGACTTCAGCAGAGAGAAGTTTTACCTGATCTAAGGCCTGTTCACCTGCCTGATGCTGACTTGCTATGACTGAAAGTTTGCATCCTGTTTTTAAATTCAATTGATAAAGAATAAAAGGGAAATGGATCACATTGGGATCTTTCATTTTTTATATTTATTGAATACATGTGAAAAGCATTTATTTTTTTAATTTTATTATTTTGTTTGTGTGTACTGTCAAATCGGATCTGACTGGTACAGGAGGAGATTGCCCCTATTTCTCCAGTGGAGCATCTGGTGGATTCGAACCACACACCTCTGGGATTTCAGTGCAGCTTCTTGCCACTAGGCCACCAGAGCTCAATGAAAAGCATTTATTTTCATATTAAAAAAGTCATCGTTTGATGAGCTCAGTTAGGTTATGATTCAGATAGCTTTATAGGGTTCTGCCAACTCTGCTACATCCTATTAATGGGATGCTTTTCTGCCTCTCTAACATACTTTTGTTTTATTCTTAATGTCCTATCACTGGAATTTATTTAAAAGTTCTATTCATTCATTGTTGCATAATTTCCTCCCTGCTCACCTCATCCCACCCCACCCCACCCCAGTTCACTATTCTCTTTGAAAAAAAAATTATTTCATTGTTCTATAGTTCCCTCCCATCCACCCCCCAGTCCACTTTACTGTGCAGCTCTTATTCTGGACTGTTGATATGCAGATAATACCTAATCATATATCCCTTTTAAGCAGTTCTTTCCCTCATATGTTTCAATGCAGTGTTCATTTTTTATCCCCTCTTTTCTTAGTTTCCACCCAAGCCCATGTCAGGCCTGTTGTATAGCAGTGGCATTATGCAATATTTGTCCTTTTTGACTGAGATATTTCACTTAGCATAATGTCCTCCAGGGTCACCCAGTTTGTATAATATTTTATTTGTTCCTTGTTTTTCAGTACTGCATAGTATTCCATTATGTGAATATACCACAGCCTCTCTATCCATTCATTTGTTGATGGACACTTGGGTTGTTTCCATCTCTTTGCTATTTATTGTGAACAATGCATCAATAAACATGGGTGTGCGTATATCTGCTGGCGTGGCAGATTTGATTTCTTTAGGGTGTATTCCCAGTAGTGGAATTGCTGGGTCAAATGGTATTGCTATTTCTAACTTTTTTGGAATGTCCCATACTCCTTCCAAAGTGAATGCACCATTTTACACTCCCACCAACAGTGAATAAATAAGGGTTCCAGTTTCTCCACAACCTCACCAGTATTTGTTGTTTGCTGCTCTGCTGAATTTTGCTATTCTTACTGGGATGTGATGATATTTCATAGTTGTTTTGATTCACATTTCTCTTAGAGGTTTTGAACATTTCTTCATGTCGTTGTTGGTCATCTGACTGTCTTCTTTGGTGAAGTGTCTGTTCATGTCCTGTGCCCATTTTGCAGTTGGGTTGTTTATCTTGTTGTGATGCTCTGGAGCTAAGAAAAACAATACCTATCACAATAGATAATCATGAAATTAAATACTTGGGAGTAAATCTAACTAGAAACACAAAGGACCTATTCAAAGAAAATTATAAATCATTACTACAAAAACCCAAAAAGTACCTGGAAAAATGGAAGAATACTCCTTGCTCACAGATAGGAAGACTCAATATTGTGTAAATGACAATTCTACCAAAGGGTATCTACAAGTACAATGCAATCCCAATATAAATACCAGTTCTTTGCAATGAGATGGAAAAGGCAATTTCCAATTTCATCTGGAAAGAGACCCCTAATAAGCAAAGCACTCCTTATAAAAAGAACCAAGGCAGGAGGCATCTCACTCCCTCATTTCAAATCCTACTATACACATAGATCAATGGAATAGCATTTAGAACCCAGAAATCAGCCCATTTACCTATGGTCAATTGATTTTTGACAAGGAGATGAAATAAGTTAGAAAATGAAAGTCTCTTTAACACATGGTATAGGCAAAATTGGAACACTATCTGCAGAAAATACAAGCAAGACCCACATCTCACACAATACACAAAAACTGACTCAGAGCGGCTCAAGGACCTAGGAGTAAAATCAAGGACTATAAACTTCATCAGAGAAAAGCTTGAAAGAACTAGAAGCCCTAATCTACAACATGAACAGTCTTCCAAGCATCCTGAAGTAAACCTACAACCAGGAGAGGATAAAATAGTTGAATGGGACTTTCAAATCCCTATGCATATCCAAAAACTTCTCCCGTAGGGTAAAAAGGAAACCCACAGACTGGGAGAAAATATTTGGTAATGACATGTCATCATGTTATCAGGTGATAAGGGGATCTTTAGTTTTCATCCCACTAAGATTGCAACATAGAGCAAAACATTACACAAGACCCGTGGCAAATGGAAGGCAAACTGCCATGTGTCCCTACCTCGAAGTTAGCTCACATGGACAGTGGGCAGCCACACTTGATCCCTCACACAACAACTGGTCCTGCTGTTCACCTGTCCACACCTGAGGCACTTCCCTTTAAAAGTCAGCAGCTCCCTTTTAAAAAAAAAAATTATTATTAATTTCCATGAAAATTTACAGAGACTTTGGATTTCCATTCATTCACTGTTGCACTTTTCTCCCCTCCCAACCCTCCCCCCTAGTACACTACCCTCTTGGAAAAGTAAAAGAAAACTTCTTCCATTGTTTTGCAAACCCTCCCCCTATGTCCACTCCACTACGTAGCCTTCGCTCTAGACTCCTGTCATGACAAAAATACCTAATCACATATCCTTTTTAGACAGTTTTCTCCCTCATCTGTTTCAATGTAGTATACATTATTGAACCCATCTTTCTCGATCTCCCCCCAAGCCCGAGGTCAATCCTGTTTTACAACAGTGGCACCATGCAGTATTTGTCCTTTTGTGACTGAGATACTTCAGTCAGCATAATGTCTTCCAGGGCCACCCAGTTTGAATAATATTGCATGAGTTCCTTATTTTTCAATGCAGCATAGTATTCCATTGTATGAATATACCACAGCTTCTCTATCCATTTGTTTGTTGATGGGCACTTTAGGTGGTTTTCAACTCTTTGCTGTTGTGAACAAAGCCACGATAAACATGGGTGTGCAAAAACCCTGCTCCCTTCTTACTGAGATGTCTGACCTCAGAGAAGTGGCCCTTGCATCCCTGCATCCCTCGTCCCAGTGTTGTGGTGTGCATGTGGCCTGGTGTTACTAGCATGCAGATAATTACCTAGTTTAGGTCCCATGACCATATGGATTGACTGTACTAAGTGATTCCAAGATGAGATATAATTTTTAAAAATAGGAGGTCTGCTACAGGTTTAACTTTTTTAAAAAATAAGTATTTCTTTTCTTCTTTATTGGCTTGTCTGTGGAACCTCACCTATGAAAGCCAAACACCCCTATGGACCCACCTCCATGGGGTTTGGTCATGCTCTCAGTCCTGGGTTCTTTTGTTTTGTCTTTTATGATCCTGGTCTTAGTTGACACCATGCTTCATTCATATTTTCAAGGAGAAGCTACATTTTTACAAAAGTGACTAGACATGCACAGATGTCCTTAAGCCCTTTTGCCCAGCTGCCCAAGCTGAGGGTTTCCTCCTCAAAAGTCTAGACCCGCGTCCTGACTAGTGTTGTGGGCCCGGCAGTGGGAACAGAAGATTTGGTGTGACTGGCGGGATCCTGGAAAATGGCAGAACTTGTGATCTATACCTTTATCGTAGTTTATCTGTACTCTTGTGCAGAGAGGTCACCCAGATTGTGTGTGTCCACGTGTGTGTATGAGGCGCATGGGGCCGAATTAAGAGTGCAGGGAGCTTGTGGGGCCTTCATTCCACTGCAGTATCCAGTGCACCAGGAACTTTGGGTCCCAGGCCGCTTAACCACAACTGCCCATTTATAAGGTGGTGGTGATACTTGAGTAGTTGGCACATGGCAAACGCTGCCCTGGAGAAGGACTTCTGGAAGCTTCTCTCACTGAAACAGGGCTGCCTTAACTGAGGCCTGAGCACTACAAACTGGGTGGGCATACAGAGGGGTAGAGGACAACTCAACACACAGCCAGGCCACCGCCACTGTGTAAGAGAGGACACATGGGTTTTCACCAGAGCCTATCAGACAGGTGGACCTTATTCACCATAGGTCATTCATTTACTTCTTTACATTTTGTTAAAAGAGTGTGTGTGTGTGTGTGTGTGTGTGTGTGTGTGTGTGTGTGTGTTAAATAATTCACAGTGTCACCATGGTGTACTTGACATGAACGTCTCAGCACAATTATGCAGTTATATTTGCTAGACAGACTAAGAATAGAAAGAACAGAACGCTTCATTTCCCACAGTCCCACACACCCTTCAAGAGCCATGCATCTAGGGCCACAGAGTTCCAGTCCTGCCCTAGAACAGGCACTAGGGCCACAGAGTTCTAGGGCACTGCCAAAGCACCGGCAGAAATGGGGAGAGAACTAGGGAACCAGACACAATCCTTCTCCAGGAGGAAGAATTTGCAAATATTAGGTGTCAGTTTCTACAGACAGGCAGCTTCACCCTGTAGACGTGGCTCCCTCACCAAGGTTTTTCTCAAGTGTGGAGTATTTCAAGTGTGCTGGTATCTTAAAAGCGTGAGTGATCTTTATTAGAAATGAAGTTTCTCCCTGCCTGCCATTTGAAGTTTTCTCCCAGTTGTAGCTCAGTTTTTAGACACTGGGCTGAGCTGCAAGCCTGCTCAGTGAGGAATCATGTTTGGGTTTTTTTGTCCTTTCCTTTTTTTAATTTCCTCTTCACCTTTTCTGTTCCTGACTTCCAGGTGTTCCAGTCAAAGGAGATTCCTGAGAAGACATCATCACCTGAAGAATCCATAAGAATGACGAAAGGCATCACCATGGCGACAGCCAAAGCTGTGGCAGCTGGGAACTCGTGCAGACAGGAGGACGTGATAGCCACCGCCAACCTGAGCCGGAAGGCAGTGTCAGATATGCTGACGGCCTGCAAGGTAGAGGCCTGGGTGCTGGATGGGATGGACAGACAGTGTTCTCTCAGGAATGAGTAGCTTGGTGGATTCTGGAGAAGGGGAGGGCCTGGAATGCCTAGAAGTCAGTAATTTCTGGTCAAAGCCTATCTGTCTAGTCTGTCTAACGTAGACAGTGCTGCCCTGGTTGAACATGCCTCCATGCTGAAGACAAGGATACCAACAAGTTTGTGGTGTTCAGATCCGTTCCAGCAGATAAAATTTTCCAGAATACCCCTCTCCATGACAGGATTCTGCCATGTGCCAACCCCGCAAAACCATTCTATCCTAAACTTGGTAATAAAATGAGTCCTGAGGGGGTAGGCCTCAACCTGTGGGAGATTGATCTCTGGAAGATTCCTCTGTAAAAAAGGACAGAGTCCACCCTGCTGACTGAATTCCTTCACTTCTCTTATTTTTAGTTCTTCCTAAATAGGCAGGGTAGGGAGCCCTGATGCCTTAGAGGTAAGAAAATGTGCTACCAGCGCAAAGACGTGTTTGAAATCTACCAGCTGCTCCATAGGAGAAGGTTGGGCAGTCTCCTCTCATGTGATTAACTGCCTCTGAAAACCCACTGGAGGGTCAGCTCTGTGTTGGTTCTGACTCAATAGTACAAAACAACAAACAGGCAGGAAGTTTTCTTACAGAGAATGCCGAGTAGGCTACTTGAAAAGAGTAATCAAGGATGGTATCATTTCATTCCAAGTCTTCAAGTGAAACCAGTTGACTTTTCTGCCCGGGCCTTTCTTATGTCTGTTGGGTTGGCCATTTCTGCAAGGAGAGGTGTAGTGATCTCTGTGAGGAAATGAGGTAAGGGATCGAAACAGAACTTTCTGTCATCTGAGTCAGACCTCACAGGGAGGCTCTCTGGAGCCAGGGGTAGGCAACCAGGGCAGCTGCCGTAAGCCCTGTGCTTGGTATATGGAAACCTGTGCCATGTGACCTGTATTTTTTTTTTTTCATTAAGAGAGATAATAAGTCACAGTATCTCACACACACACATCCCTTTGCATCACATTAAATATCTCTATTCTAGTCCTTAAGCCTTCTTGCCACTGGAGCCAACTCTACTCAGTGACTGATTCAAATTTTTTTCCCTCCCTTATATACCAAGGGGTGTGGAGTAGAAATTTATCACAGAAGTTGAAAACTAGCTATTACAGATGAGCATCTGAAGAATAGCACGACTCTCTGTGATGCAGTGAGTTCTGTGCCAGGAGCTGGTAGGAAGTCTGACTTGGATGGTCTTTCAGAATCTCACAAAGTGTAGGATGGGTAAGTCTTGATGTGGCACCATAGCCGACTTGAAAAGCTTTGTGGGGATTGAGGGTTATTTTAACAGGATCTGCTAGTTGAATTTGCCAGCGTTATACTTCCCCATAACAGGAGATAATATTCCTTGAGGAAGAGTCTCAACAGAAGCAGTTGTACCTATAGTACCTGGAGTGATTTGAGGTAGGTTTGTGTGTTTGTTCCTTTTTAAATGGAGAGAATGATGGATGCACTGAATTGAAGCTTGTGATCATGAATTTTATTGTAAGCAGGTCTTTCACTCTTAAATGTACCACAACTCCCTCTTACTCCACCTACTTTACTCTTTCAGAATCCTTGGCCATTTTATTATTTACACACACACACACACACACACACACACACACACACACACACACACACACACACACACTGAATTAGTCTCATAAGGCTCTCTTCTGGCCAGTCAACTCCTTTGTAACCTCCTAGGTTAATGTCAAGATCATTGTCCAGTCGTCTGCATGCCAGTGGGTTACCAGAAGGTAAAAGACAAACTAGAAGTGGTCATCTGTGAAGATGTTTATCAAATGCAAGGTCTCAGTTACTCCCTTGTACTTGAGCACATCAGAGATCATGAGGCTGGCACAGGATAGGACAACCTTTTGTTCATAGGGTCGCTATGAATCATCATCTATTCAATGGCACCAAACAACAACACAAGCCCTTAACCCCTTCTTCCACCTTTGACCCCTGATGACTCATCCCAAGGACCCTTGAAAATACAGTGGGGTGTCTGTGTTAGGGTCCGGTGACCATGACCATGTGTAACTGCAGGCTGAGATGACCTGCTTTTTCCTTCTTAGATACTTTTTCAACTTGAAGAACAAGAACGCGGTACTCTAAAAATGTCCATTTGTGGAACGGAGCCACATCTTGACCCTTATGTGGCTTCTGTGTATGTGGCTTCTTTGTAAGGAGCCACCTGGGAGAGGTGGACATGGAATACATGTTCATTAGCAAAAAGAAGTCAGCCCTCAGGTCTCAGGGAGAGATAGTTTCATGGCAAAACACAGCGACTGATGACATTGTGAGGAGGTGACTCTTGAAGGAAAGATGAGAGATTGGAAATAAAATGACATACACAGCAAACCTGACACACACTGGGTAACTCTCAAGAACCAGATGTAATAGTAGAGTCTTCTTGTGATTATCATAGATGACTACTTTGTCACCAGCTAGGGGCTGGACCCCTGCATTTGGCCGTGTCCTTATGTTGTCAGCTCTTTCCCAGGGTCTTTGACAATTCCATCCAGGGAAGCTGGGCTGCTAACCTCAAAGCTGCACCTCTCTGGTGGTCTGATCCACCAGCGGGCAATCTCCTCCCATGCTACTTACAGCCTCACAGAATCTGTTGGAGGGTCAGCTGTGAGTCAGCTCCTACATGATAGCAATCAAAGAAAGACAGAGGTGATCTCATGAGGTTCTAAAGTCAAATAGCTAAAACGCAATGGTGGTGGTAGTGCCATTGCTATTGTACCCTTTACGGTAAGAAAGCCCCAAACCCAGAGTGGTCAGTAGGTTTATCCCAGAAGTTAGGGGCTTTCTTAAAGTCCCTTAGCTTTTCAAGGGGACTCAGTGTGTATGATTTTTCAATTCAGGGGAGGCAATTAAGTAGAAAATAGCTGAATGTTGTTTGTCCAGCGTCCATTTCTCTCCATTATGTTGTCCTCAGACCAGACCATCCCAACTCTGTATGTTCACTTCACAGGCCAAGACGGCAGATGTCACTGCTAAGCTTGAAACTCCTGTTGTGTTTTTGTGTGCCATCAAGTCAGAATTGACCCAGAGCTGACTCTCCAGTGGGTTTTCAGAGGCAGTGAATTACACAGGAGGAGAGTGTTCATCTTTCTCCTGTGGAGCACTTACTGTATTCGAACCATATGCCTTTGGGATTGCATCTTAGCTTCTCACCGTTAGGCCACCTGTCTCATTTGAGACTCCTGTTAGAAGACCCAAACGCAACCCAACTCATGCCATTTCAAGTCAGTTCCGACCTATAGCAACCCAATAGGACAGAGCAGAACTACCACCTAGGATTCCCAAGTCTGTAATCTCTATGGGGCAGACTGGCATATCCCTCCTGGAAGACATTCAGGTGGGTTTGAACCATTAACCTTTTGGTTCGCAGCCTTACACTAAATCCACACTTAATCCTCCTGTTAGGATTGAACTTATTTAATAACTTTATTTAATAAGGTTATTCCTACTGTGCTTCCTTTGGTCTCCTGTGTCCCCATCCCTTTGCAGAAAGGAAGTGAGGCAGCTTGTCTAATAAGAGTGTGCAGACAGGTAGTATAGGCAGAAAACCAAGGCTCTGAGTAGCAAAGGGAAAACTTTTATGTCAGGCAGGAAAGTCAAGTTGCCATGTTTGATCTTAGGGACTTCATTGAGAATGAGTGGTGAAATGTTGTTAGTTGCTGAAAAGTCAGTTTCAACTCAACCAAGTAGAATTTCCCCATAGGTTTTGAACCACCAACCTTTTAATTAGCAGACTTGGAGTGCTTAATCATTGTTCCACCAGGGCTCCTTGAGTGCTGAGATCTCATCTTTATCATTGCTGTAAAGTCAGAACCAACTCATAGCTGACCCTCTTGTCAGTTTTCAGAGGCTGTAAATCACCTGGGAGAAGATTGCCCATCTTTCTCCCACAGAGCAGCTGGGGGATTTGAATGGCCTGCCTTTTGGTTGGCAGCACAACTCCTTATCCCCTCGGCCCCCAGAACCCCAGTGTGACAGGCTAGCCAGTATTAAAAAGGAGGCAGAATAGGCTGAATAAAGGAGGTGGAGGGTTGCCTGGTTTCTCAGACCAAGTCAAAGATTTACCCTTATTCCAAATTTATGTTTATTTCTCTGTGGTCTTTCTTATAATGCATAAGGTCATAGTTGATACAGGTTTATAGCTACTATTTCAGTTGTTGTTGTTATATACCATAGAGTCAGGACTGACCCATAGCTGACCGTCCGGCAGGTTTTCAGAGGCAGGTAATTGCACGGGAGGAGACTGCCCGTTCCTCTCCCTTGGCGCAGCTTGCCTTCGGGATTGCAGCGCAGGTTCTTGCCACTAGGCCACCACAGCACCCTATTTCAATGAACATACGGTTCTTTCCTATGTTGCTTTGGGTCATTATGGAGAACCCCCGGTGGTGCAGCAGTTAAGCACAAGGCCACTAACCAGAAAGTCAGCTGCTATCACATGCTTCTGGAGAGAAAGGTGAGGCAGTCTATTCCCATAAAGATTTACAGCCTCAGAAACCCTAAGGTGCAGTAGTGTCCTGTCCTATAGGGTCACCAAGAGTTGGTAACAATGTGAAAGCCATGAGTGGTTTATGAATCATTATAACAGATTTCTAATAATTAAACACGAAGATCCCACGAGCTGCCAAAAGAAGAAACTGGTCTGTCTGGGAGGAAGTGCAACCAGGTTGCATGGAGAGGCAAGAATGGTGAAAGTCATGTATCTTGGGCATGTTTCCAGGGAGAAACAGTCTTTAGGAAAAATAATCATGCTGGAAAGGCACGGAATATAATAATCATGCTGGAAAGGCACGGAAAGAATGGAAGACCCTCAACAAGATGAATTGACTCAGTGATTGTCCCGGCGGGCTCATGCAGGAGAATGCAGGATAGAGCACGGTTCAGATCCTAGCTGATTCAGTGGCACCCAACAACAACATCACTTTTTAGATGTGTATCATCTTTCCCCTGTTATCAGATTTAGTAATCTATAATTTTTAAATCATAAACAATAGTGTAGACCAGTGAGTAATCTTTGGAGAGAACTGTTATTTTCTGATCCTTTGGAATATTTCCTTAGACAAGAATTCCAGAAATTGCTTTCGTGAAGGAAAGGTGTGACATTTTCATTATTTCCAGATTGCTCTCCCAAAAGATTCTGCCAAGTTACAGAGCAACCAGCAGTGAACAGGAAAACCTCACTCTCATCTATCACACAACCTTAAATCCGGGCCTTGTACATAACCTGAGAGCGGTAGCGTTGAGTAATAACACAGTCTGTGTCTTCCCACAGTGGCAGCTCAGGAAGTCAGACACACAGCTCTGTGCCTGACAGTTGGACACTATAAGACCAGCCATTTTTAAAACATAGATGATTGAAAACATGGAGATTAAGAGGATGACCCTGGATTTCTGGTTCCTACTTCTAAGGCACATTAGTCCTCAGAGAGCAGAACTAGGCTATAAACGGCGGGCACAGGCCTTTCACATTAACCCCGTTCTTCCTGCGGGGATGACAGAGCAGAGGATCAAGTAAAGGAGCACCCACAGGTCTTCTCCCCAGTACATCCCCCTCCCCAGAGGGAGGTGCGTGAGTCAGAGAAACATGGAAACCAGTCAGTAGTCCCTTCAGCCTCGACTTTCATCCTAATGTGAATTTTGTATTGTCCTGGTTGCAATTGATTTGCAGTTTCCCTTCTTTAATGTATTCTTGTAAATCCTGTCTCCTCTTCAAGTTCTTCTCAGAATATGGCTGTAAAAGAATGGAAGGCTGACTGAGGAGGACTGCCAGACATGGCAAGTAAAAGAACAAAGCATTCCATACTTGGTTTTTTAAAGTACCCATTGTTTATCTGCAGTTCCAGTTTAACTGGACGTTCTGCGTTTTCTCTGGCAACACTCTGAGTGGGTATGCTATCTGAAATGATGTATCATGAATGAATCATGTTGGCAGGTTGCAAATGCAGGAGGCTGTGCTAACCGTGTGTTTAGTTCTTTTATCTCACCGTCTGTGGTGTAGGCTGAGGCACTTGGGCTCCACTGAGGGAATTGGGAAGCTCACTCTCTGAGTCTCTGCAGGAACCAGGGGCCCTGCTCCCAGGAGTCCTCACTGCACCTGCAGCCAGGTGAGGCTGAGAACTGAGACCCTGGGCAGCATCGGGCTGTGACTCGAGAGGGCCCACAGGGTTCTTAGAACGAAAGGGAGGCTGATCCCAGCATAGTATATATCTTCTGCTATAAGCACTGTAAGATTTTTCCTGGAGATTTTATTTCATATAGTGGATAGAGAGGTTATTGTTATGTGCCGTAGAATCGACTACAACTCATAGTGACTTTATGAACAACAGCTCTGAACTTTGCCCTATCCTGAGCCAGCCTCCACCTCCGACACCCCTGACCCCACTGCTACAGTGACTGTATCAGTCCATCTCATCAAGGGTCGTCTTCTCTTGTGCTGGCTTTCTAGCATGACATCCTTCTGTAAGGACTAGCCCCTCTGGATTGATAGGTAGATATTTTCAAAACAGAACAAAATGAAGAAAGGAAGGGCTGAGGTACCAGTTAGACTCTTGATTCCATCATCTGATCTCACGGGCACTAACAATGTCAAGATGAGCTGTGACCAGAAAACCTGCCGAGGAGACAGGTAGGAGGTCAGCTTTTCTAACTGGGTAGCCAGTGAGGGCTCGTCAGAGAAGTCTCTGAAGTCAAGGTCAGGTCACTTCCGGAATCCAGATTTCCTTTCTCTGGACGCAGGCTGTACAATGCTGCTGAGCTGGGACCCACCCTGTTCCCCTCGTCAACTGGTTCTTCTGTTTTAAGATGTAACCATCCTTTTTCTCCTCAGCAAGCGTCCTCCCACCCAGATGTCAGCGAAGAGGTACGTACCAGAGCCCTGCGGTACGGGACAGAGTGCACCCTGGGGTACTTGGACCTCCTGGAGCACGTGCTGGTGGTGAGCATGGGTGAAGGTCGGGGTGGAGAAGAACCTTATACAGGGAGGGGCTGCTATGACTAATGTGGGTGCAGATCGTCCTTCCCCAGGAAACTACCCCCCGCTCCCCCCCGAAGTCATTGTCCCATCACAAAGCTAGTGCTGGGTTACCCTGGGTCAGCACACACAGCAAAGAGTGTTGTCTGGAGAAAGTTGTAAATTGCAGTCCAGGTGAGCCTGACTCCCTCATTGCATCCAAGGGGCAAGACTAAGTCAGCACATAACAGCAGGAAGAGTGTGGACAGAGTGAAGGACAAGCAGGTTGAATGGTCAGTACCCTGCTTGCAAAGTCGTCAGGAGGTCCTGTTGAAAATCTATTTATGCGCATGGAAGGCACCCCAGCCTCTAGGACGGGTTAGGGAGAGACCTCACCAGTGCAACAACAGGGGCCCTAATGGCCTTGGCTGCACTTTTCCTAGCCTTTCAATAAACAGCTTTGATCAAACAGAAAACCATCATCCCCTTACTCCCTTGACCTTCCCTGAGCTCAGCATGCCCTGCATGGAGCTGGGTCATGAGGCTAAAATGAAGACACGTAGGTTATGGCCATGGCCAAGCAGGTGCCTACAGGTAACCTTCCGACTTCCAGGGTAACTTGGCTCCACATACCCTAAAGACCAAGCCAAGAAGTAAAGCCAGGAGTGCCTGGCTCTGAACTCCAGGAGCCACATTTCAAATGTGTGAGGTGTGGGCTGGGTTGTGACTGCATTCCGGAGTTGGGGGCATCCCTACAGGGGAAGTCCCACCACTACCCTTGCTGCTCCCCCAAACTAAAAGGAGTCTGAAAGGTCACCTGCAGGAACATGAAGCGTACCCTTCCGTCATCTGCTGAGTGTTCTCACAGGTGCTTTTTCCATTTTATCCTTGCACAGCGCATGAGGAATAATCAGGGACCCAGAGACCTTCCGCCTCTTAGCTGAGGTCCCCCAGCTCCTCGGTGACAGACATGAGGCTAAATCTTAACATGTGTTATTCCTGGCTCTCTGCCCAGTCTAAACTTTCACAACCTCTTCTTAAAAAGCAAATCTGGAGGAGTCTTGGGAACTGTGGCCCTTGGTTACTCTTCAGATCTTGAATTTAAACTGGCCCCTGAACTGAACATTAGACTCACAGTTTAGCAGAAAAAGTAAAGATTCTCAGCGCTGAAAGTTGTTTTGGTTTTGGGTGGGGTGTTGGTTTGGTTTTTTTTGAGAACTATATTGTTTTAAAAAAATACCTATATAAGACCATTAGTTAACAGCCATTTTAAAGCAGAGATGAGAAGATTGGGGGGTGAGAAAGTTAATGATAGTGAAACTACTAGAACAGAATTAAGGAGAAGTTGACACAATGTGAAGAATCTAACTGTTGTCTCTGATCATTATAAGAAAGCTGTGAAAAGGGAGCAAGTATTGTTGTAAACACATACAGACACAGACACACACATACACACACATGTTTATACCATTGCATTAAAGCTGTGGAAAGGGAGCAGGTATTGCTACACACTCTCACACACACACACACACACACACACACACACACGTGTTTATACCGTTGCAGTATTCTTAACCCAAGTAACGGTGATAAATGTGTCTAACTTTTTTGCTAGAATTTCTGAGGATACTTGCATTGGACTTCCAAGGGCTAAATCTTTATCCAAAGGAACCAGTGTATCACACATGAGCCAATAGTCACCTTTATAGGTTAGAGTCTGGCCAGCCAGCCTGGCTGTGTGTGTGGGAATATAGTTAAAGCTCCCTGGGTCAGTTACGAGCCTGTCTCAGAGGAAATGCAAAGAAAATGAGCTCCGCAAGACTTCCAAAAGAAATTCCATATTGGAACAGTATATTCTTGGTCACATACACCCTTGGTATATCTGAAAATTAGACAGTGCAGTGGAAACACTTAATGCTCATAGGCTTAGATTAAAAGACAAGTTCACATCCTGACTCTGTCATGTCAATAGCCATACTTTATAAATGGCACCTTAACACAGTTGTAACATGCAATTAATTAGTTATCCCAGGAGTGTCAGAGAGGTGGCTGAAGAAGGAGGGTGCCAAGGTGAGCCCAGCCGCTGTGGTCCAGTCATGAGCATGTACGGCCGCCGTGTTGGCAGCTCCACGCTGGCTCTGGTGAGCCAGTGGACAGCAGTGTTGTTGCTTCATAGGACTTAATACACCTGCTTCATCTCACAAATCTAGAAACCTGTGTGAGGAGAGAGAGTTTCCATGATGTTTAGTGGTGTCTAGTGGGGAGAAGTCTTCTCATTTCCTAAGTGTGGACAGGAGCCTGCACTGGCCTGGAATAGACAGACAGGGTCTCCTTGCTGAGAACTTGAAGTCTGGTCTTAGTATCTAGGATCTAGTTGCTTCGTCTACAGAAGCTCTTCTTCCCCTCCCCTCTCGGATTCTGTAACCTAAGGTGGCATCCCGAGGGGTGGGCAGATGGTCGATCTCAACCCCTGAAGACAGGCTGGTGGCCCAGGGCCTCTGTAAACCCTAGAGAAACTCTTACAATAAGTTCTAGGTGCTGTGTCCATGGTATGTTGTGCTGCTAGCCAACAAGCTGTGCAAATCTGTCCATTCTAATTGTGTCTGCTGCTCCTCAGAGGCAGGTGGGCTTTCTCCTCCCGTTGATATTTACAGCCTGGAAGCTTCACAGAGGTGCTCTGTAAGGTGGGATTGGCGCAGTGAGTTTGATTTTGAAAAATCATCAGGAGCCCCGGGATGATGCAGTTAACACACTTGACTGCTAATCAGAAGATTGAAGGTTTGAGTCCACCCACAGGCTCCTCAGAAGAAAAGAATGGTTATCTACTTCGGAAAAGTCAGCCACTGAAAACTATGGAGCACAGTTCTAATACGGCACACACCGGGTCACCATGAATCCAATAAACTCAACAGCATCGAGTTTAGGAGCCATTTCTAGTCCACATATCTGTGGATCCAGCTTAACGGCCATGTCTTCGCTATGGCAGGCCTACGTCCTAGTGATAATCATCAACAGCTTTTTCTGAAACAGGACGCAGGGCACGTCTCACAAGAAGATTCAGCATCACATGTGATTCGGGAGATTTTCATTTGCAGGGTGCCTGTGAAGGCCAGCTAGGTGGTTCACAGTCTTCTTTCCCGAGACTCCCACTAAAGCAAGTTGTACTTTGCTGCCTGCTGTTCTAGTTGGCCTGCTCCCATTTAAGCTGATGTATTTCCTGCACGAGGCTCCTCCCCTTGGTTTTACTCTGGAAGGAAGATTCTTAACCCTGATGCATTGCCAATGTGAGTGGTTTCTTAACAAGCACATGAGTGCTTGTTAAAAGCCTGCCACCTGTGTTTCTTTTCTGTCTACACAACTGTGTAATTGTAACCTTGTAATTACTGGACAAATGTGGAGATTTGGAGGTCTGTGGTATGAAGGTGACAGGAAAAGTCAATGTCATTGTCCTGGTGTCAGAACCAACTCATAGCAGCATACCTCTCCCGACTGACTGTGCCACCAGAGGTAACTGGTGTTAAAATTAAGTTCCTAGAAGTGTGAGGATGGCACAGGCTAGAACAGGCTTCAGATCTTTTCCTCATAGGGTTACTATGAGTCACACTCAACCAGACGGCACCTAACAACAAAATAGGAACAAAAATAAATGATGTTAAAACTTTTTTTCTAAAACACACAAAACCTTTCTAGTCTTTTGCAAGAAGAATGCTTTTGTGCCTTATTGGTGATCAGTGCTGATGGCTCTGACTTCCAATGTGATAGGGATGACAATAGCTTCATGGGTTTATTTGTCCTTGCACTTTGTTCTTCACTGTCTTTAGAAAACCCAACACAATCATTGAAAGGTATTTTATAGCACGGATACAGATGCTTCCAGGGGATTAGCAAAAAACATGAAAAATGCAGGGTCCAGAGAAAACCCAAAATGCAGACCTAATGCCATTGAGTGGATTATGCTTCACAGCAACCCTGTAAGAAAGAGCAGGGCTGCCCATAGGGTTTTCACGGCTGCAGATCTTTAGGAAGGCAGCGTGCCTGCCTGGACCTTCTCCTGCAGAGCAGTAGGTTCAAATTGTCTTTCTTGGAGTTGGGGGATGGAGGGGGGGAAGGGATTGGTTAACAGCCAGATGCTTTAATTACATTACCATCCAGGCTTGCTAAAGGCAGGTTACTAACTGCAAAATACTGAACCTCTCTGTCAGTGGTCTGTCACCTGCATTATGGGCATCTGTAGTGTTGTGGGGCCTGATGCTAAAAATAAGATCACATTTCACATTGTTAGCCCTAACTCCTTTCCAGCACAGACTGTTTAAAGAAACCGGGACTTGAAAGCATCTAAAAGCAATGCACAATTGTTCTGTACTGAAGAGACTGAGAAGCTGCATGGCTGAGGAGACCTGATGAAAAACGAGGAGATGAAGGTCACCAACAGGGAAATGAATGGTTGTGTTCTGAGGGAATTTTTGAAGATAGAATCAGAAAGTAAATGTCAGATTGCTTATGAATAGCCATAACAGGATTTCATTTGTATTCTCTTCAGGGCACAAGTAAAGGATACTAAGCTTAGATTACTTGGATTTAAAAAGCAATTTAAAAAAACCCAAATAATTACTGATTTGCACTGCCAACCCAAAGGCACACAATTCAGTTCCACCAGTTGCTCAGCAGAAGGCAGATGAGCAGTCTTCTCTCATGCAATTTACTGCTTCTGGAACCTGCTGGAGGGTCAGCTATGAGTTGGTTCCTACCCCAAGGTACATAAAAACTTCCCATTCTTTGGTCTTTGCAGAAAGACCATGTGATCAGATGACTAAATAATTGTAATCTGAAGAGAAAGTCAACTTAAATCAGCACCAGAATAGGAGATCTTGAAAAACATGATGCTTTGTTTTTAATAATGCACATGAATTTGGTTAAAATTCTTAAAAGTCAGAGAAAAGCTACAGTATTATCCATTTTTTACCAAACTGGAATGTGGGGGAAAC